CGGAAGGCGAGATTCGAGAATCAAAAAAATCCAGAAAAACAATAAATTGGGAGAATCCGATAAAGTAGGGCACGTCGGCGATTCTTGCCGTCCAGAGGAAGGTTGTGCAAAGAGAGAGACCAGATGGTCGACACGTGGATACGTGTTACTGGATCATGTCGAATGTGGACAAACTGCGACACGTAGATCCAACGTTTGGAGACGGGCAAGGTCAATTTACTACACCCAACACACAAATACGTACAAAGCAATGAGTAAATTCGACACACGAATGCAGTAATTTTAATTTTATAGAGGGAAATACAAAGCAATGTCGTGTCTATGTTTGTTTATAAAGGTTTTATGAAGGAAAATGAAATAGTGAAATAATAGTCAATAAACCAATCCATGAGAATATTTTCGAAAAATACGTCACAGAACAAGGTGTTTTTCTTTGCGGAAAATATATGTATTTTTTCTGTTCTCTCAAACTTGCATACAGTATATGCAAAGACTTGACTAAAAAGGAAAGAATTAAGATGTCTCAAAATATCCTCCACATTGTTCTTGGCCACAGAAGAAAGACTACAAATTATACATCAAAGAATCAGCAGCGTAGAGTAAAGAGTAATTATTAAGTTTATCTCTGTTTTGATCTCAAGCAGCTTTAAGGGCATTTCCTCTGGATGTAAGAAGCTCCATGCTCTTCATACCTGCCATGTACACAATTGCTCCAAACCCAAGTTAGAAGAGAAACTTGTTTACATTGTGAGTCGAAACCTACAGAACAGTCCCAATGGGTTACTTACTCAGACTTTGAGAACCACATCTGCTGGAATGAACCTAGCGATGCCAGTATACTCCCTCCTATCCATACACTGCACACATTCGGGTAACCAAAATAAGATCTCAACTCTTTGACCCTCTAATTGAGGAAGAAGTAACTTTGCTTCCCAAACCTGAATCTTCTCTCTGTTGTGTTACCGCTTGCCAACACTTTAACTCGAGCTGATTGGGGAGATTCCTAGAAAAAAAGAAAATGAAGTGGCCAATGGATTACTTTAGCCATCTCATGTGCAAGATTTTGCCTACAAGCCAAGGGGAAAGAAAAGAGAGAAGAGAGAGAGAGCTATACTTCTAATAAGTCCTTCTCGAGGCGTTCTTTCAACTGTTGCATTGATGATGTTCCACCCGCCAGCTGCAGTTATGTGAGAAGAAAGAAATGACATTGCTATATGTTTTACAAATTCTCAACTGAATGGGAAAAAAGTAAGCTGAATAGGTTTTCTTTTTACCAGAATGCTACTATACAACTCTCTGCGAATATCCACATCACATTTGCTAATGCTCTGTATGACCTGTAGAAAGGGAATTCAATTTACTTTTGTTGATTGAAAGGAGAGTGGGATTGTACAGGTAAAGAAAATACTCGTACCATTTGTGGTAACCCCCGAACCAAAGGGAGCATGTCTGTGTAATACTCCATTCCAGGAATCGTCTGTTAATTTGAAGAAGAAAAAAAAAATAAGAGGGAACTTAGGGATATAAAAGTCTTCGACAGACAACTAGAGGCAACTTATTGCACAAGAGGAAGATGATTTAACACGTTCGTACATATGAGTTTACAGGACTGAGCACAACATATACCTGAACTATGGAAGGGTTGAACATAACATCAGGAGTTTTGAATCTATCAGCACCAATTTCGAGCGTCCTGCATTGCAAGCGAGAAGTTAATATGATACTGTGTACACAAAGGTTCATGTGGGAAAAGAAAAAACGCCTCAAAAAAAAGAGGGGCTTACTGGCCATCAGGAAGCTCGTAAGACGTCATAGGTATGTTTGAATATGATTTATCTGTAGAGAAATTGCACATATCAGGAATACTAAGCAACCAACTGTTCGCTATACTTTCAAGTATCTTTGTTCATGTTTCTTCTCAGCAGCAGAGAATGTAGGAAACTGATTTTGCTTACATTAAGGCTTGAGATGATCCAAATTAATATTTTACTATATAACCAATGATCAAGCAAAAAATGAGATCTGTCAAACTCAACTCTTGAACTACTCCAAACTGTGTAGAAGAGCCAATAAATTAGACCAATGAAAAACAGGGAAAAAGGGATACCATCATAGGGAGTATCTGGAACTCGACAAATAGAATCCTTGATATCACTTACTATCATCCTCTGTTGAACAAAATAAACCACTCAAGTAAGAAAACAAAAGAATTTTTTAAACCAAGGCACCAATCTTAATTACAAAACTGAATCTTAATTACAAACCTGACAGAAGAGTTTGTAGCTTTCTGTGGTATTAGGAACATCAACATCTGTAACCTGCAAGGACTCAACGGGGCGAAATGAGATAAACCTTATCATTGCCAGTAAAAACTGATTAGATGCAAATCCATTCTCAAGACCATCTGTCTTTCTCTTTTAGGTGATAAAAAAAAAATCTGCAGTTTTAAACGTATCTGCAACTCAAAACCACAGAATTACCTGAAATTCTCCTGGTCGAATTTCTTTTCTCTTAAAAGAGTATCTAGGTTTTATCTGCAAAAGAAGAAACCAGTAAAGATCAAATGAAATGGCTCCAGAACGGTGTAACAATAGTTGTAACTCACTTTAATCCCTTTGCTCTCCAAGCTTTTCAGTAAGCAATCAGTGAGAAAATCTCCTCCAATTGGAGATGATATGACAGCCTGTGAATATTTTTTTGTCAAGAAAACAAGACATCAGTATTCAAGCTACACTTATGCTTTAAAAATGGAACTTGCCAAGATCCACCCGGATGAGAATTTGTATGAATGGCCGACGAGGACAAGTAAAAAACAAATTGTTCCCGTTATATGGCCATTATATTACTTTCTGAACTAAGCAGAGAAAATATCTATACGCATTCAGAAAATAAATCTGCAATGATCGACTTTATCCAAAAGAGCAATCCAAGAAATGTACTGTTTTTTCATGCAGAATTATTACTTAAAGAGTTAGTTTGGAAACAAAAGATGGGCCAACTTTTTCCAGCAGGAAAAAAAATCAAACAATAGACACAGCATACACACAGACTTAGCTATGACCAAATCAATATTACATATACCTTTTGAAGAACATAACCTTCATGCACCGGAGCAATAGTCGTGGATCCTCCACCACTGAAAGGGAGCAAAGTTTGTATACAGTAAGTAATTTCAAGATGAGTGACATAAACCGAGAGCATAGAGAATCTAAAACAGGAAGAGAGTGAAATGTGATTTAATTTAGAAGATGTTTAGATAAAACCATACAACATGGACAGAATAACATGGCTTCTAACTACTATAGTAAATTTCAAAACTCGAATTTCCACAGGTCTTACCAGTCAACAACCAAAGAAGTAGCACGGCCTGAAGCAAACGATGTGAGAACCTAACATGCATAGCAAGAGCAGAAGGGAGGTCAAAAAGGACAGTAATTCTAATCACTAGAATCCTTAATAAATAAATAAAAGCGATGGAGCAAGGTAGAGGGAAGATACAGGATTCTTGGCCATAAATAATGCTGGTACTTTGTATTTTTCAAACATTAGCTCAGCAGCCCTGTCAGGAATAAAATACATAGGAGGAAATCAGTTCCAGATCCGAGGTTAAATCAGTATAGAAAAAAGGATACTTAAAGATAAACCAGACTTTTCTCTCTGTTGCTGAGTGTTCAAAGGGGGCTCTGCTAGCAGCATCGGGTGCTCCTTGGGATCAATCATTAGACAGCTCCTTGAAAAATAAAAGTTTCATAGATGAAATCATCAACCAACCATAGATGGAAAAGTAAAAGTTAAAACAATTAAGAGAAAAACTAAGGGTTTATACTAGTTACCTAAAGGCATGTTCCCATACATTGTCCACGATATCCCAATCAGATACAATGCCATCTTTTATGGGTGACAATATCTAGTGACACAGAAATGTCAGCAAATGGAGAAACTGAAAATTTCTACTCAATTGTTTCCTAACAAGTTTGAAGTTTAAAACTTTAGTCCATAACAAAAAGCTGACCTCCATCTGATCCCGGCGAAAGTTCAAGGCTTGGGACCCTACAAAAAGTTTCCTTTTGCCCTTTTGTTTATCAGGCTCAACGACATTGTTATTTGCATCCTCTGTGTTTGAATTCGCATTTGCAGCATCATCAATATCCATTCCATCTATTGTCCCAACAACCTTATGGCACACCAACAAAATAAAATAAAATCAACCTAAGTTTTGCGAATTTCTCTACACTAAAAGGACCTAACTTCAAAGCAAATAAATCAATTGCAAAGAGAGGAAAGAGATGAAGTAAAGAATGAGAACTGAGGCTTACGGAGGGAAAAACGGCTTTGGGGGCATCTTCTCCGGCGTAACCAGCTTTGCAAGTGTGAGAACCCAAGTCTACTACGATAGCTGACACTTCATCTGTCCAAACACAAAACCCAACGGAAAAAAATCAGACCTTGAAGAGACGAACTCAAGCGAGAAGGAAAACAAGTAATGCTGAATTTTATAATCAGAAAGAGATTTCTGAAAGCGAAAAAGAAACCCACCTCCGCCGTACATGGCTGCCGAGAAAGCGAGACGAGGAGAGGTTTTCTACCGGAGATTCGTCGGAGGGTTTAAGGACGGACCATAGTAACTTATTAAAGTGAGTTCGAAATTGTCGGGATATAATTTGTCTCGGCTTGTGAAGTGAATACTAAAAGGAAGACAGGGACTAGACCCATAAAACCTGAACATGGACTAGAAGTCTAAAACTAAAGAAAGTGAAAATAAATTTAAAAAAATAAACGCCGTTGCCGGGGATCGAACCCGGGTCACCCGGGTGACAGGCGGGAATACTTACCACTATACTACAACGACTTTGTTGTTACCATTCTATTATTTTAAATAATTAAATTCTGTATTTTTATTTCGTTATTTTTTTACTGCCGGTAGCTTGCTGGCGATACCGGTAAGTTTCTTTTTGGTCAACTCGAAACAGGAAGCATAGTTTATGAATGAAGTCGAAAACACAAAAGAAGACACAAACATGAAGAAACTCAGTGTTGCAACCAAATTAACACACATCGTGTGTGCAATAACAATACCTGTCCACAGTCACACACACCAACCCAATTGATTCCGACCTTAAATACTCAAAAAACCACCACTTTCTCTCAAAACAAAGAAGAAATTCTCCAAGAAAAAATGGCTTCTTCTACTCTCTTCATCACTCTCTTAATCAGCTTGTCTCTAACATTTCTCCAAGTGGTTCTCGCTCAAGTCCCAGGCACCACAGCTACATGTGCCTCCATGCTTCTTTCCTTGGCTCCATGTGGTCCATTCGTGCAAGGCTTTGTCCAGCTTCCGGCTCAACCTTGCTGTGACGGCTTAAACCAGGTCTATAGCCAAGACCCAACTTGTCTCTGTCTCCTCCTCAACAACACTTCGACTTTGTCCCCAGCTTTTCCAATCAATCAAACTCTTGCTCTACAATTGCCTCCGCTTTGCAACATGCCAGCCAGTTCATCCTCTTGCTCATCCTCCCCTGGTACGTAGATTTCTTTGCACAATTCGGTATGTGGGATCAGAACTGTGTGGGATTCAAGTGAAACTTATGAGAAACATTTTTGGTTTATAGGAGGAGAGGCGCCTAGTGATTCCTCCTCTGTTGCTCCACCACCTTCTAGCTCAACCGGTTCCCAGGTCTCTCTAGGTGCAAAGAACAGCTCTGGCGTTGCGGGTAAGCTTTTCGTTATCTGCTAAAACCAAAATGAGAACAGTTGACATCTCTCAATAAGAGTGTTACTGACTTTGTTCACTTTATCAGCGACTCCAGTGGCTCAAGTGGCACCAAGACCAACCAGCTTTATGGGATTAGGTTACGGTTTGAGATCCTCTGGCTCCAAGTCTAAGATTCAGCTAACCATCCTTGCACTCGAATTGGTCCTACCCGGAACTCTTCTCCTTATCTGAGTTTATCTGCATTTAACTACCACCACGGTTTTAGTTACATTCTCATGTCTTCACTTTTCTATATGAATCAAGAACAATTTTATTTAGAGATTTCAGAAAGAAGAGATTATTGGTTCTCTTCATAAAGCAAGTTTCAGACAACGCAATGCTTGGAACAGAACAATGACAAACAATAATTCGTTTCTTATAATCGGTTTTCGCTTCGGTTCTATAACATTATGAACACAAACTAGCTCCCCAAAAGTAAAAGATTCAGTATTTTTTTCTTCTTCTTTCTCTAAACACTGAACTGAAACTAATCCAAACTAGGGGCCACTTCTGTTGGGTTAGACTCGAACACATCTTCCGAGTTGGAACTCTCTGCTTCGTCGAGAAGGTCACGAGATTGGATCGCCTCTTTATACACTGGAGTCTCCTTGAAATCCGTTGCACCTTCATTGTACGTCCCCGCCGCAATTCCGCCGGAGATTAGCTGTTACAGAATTAACCAACGCACTGTGAATTCATTGGTTCAACTCAAGCAAGCTTTCAAATTTAGGGATCGTTATAAAAGTAATTGGAAAATTTGATCGATTGAAATTACCGCGAAAAGGATCCCGAAAGCCCACAAGTATTGAACGAAGAACCCTAGACCATCCCACTGAGGACCTTCAAACGGATCAGGTTCGAGCCCAGGAAGATCCTTAATCGCAAACTTAGGCGCGTCTTTGGGATCACCTCTGAAGCGAGTATTCACCGCAAACCTATCTTCGCCGTCGTCGTCGTCGGCGATTTCGATCTGTGACGGCGGTTTCTCGCCGTCGTAGACACCGTTTTGCTCTTCGGGCTGTTCCTTGGTAGTCGTCGGGACGAGACTCCGACGCTTCTTGCTGTCGAACCGGCCGGTAGAGGAGGTTTTTTTGGCGGCAGAGACCACGTGGTGACGGGTTCTTGAGGGGTAAGAGATGTTAACGAGTCTGGAGGAGGAGAAGAGATTTCGAGAAGAATCGGTGAGGTCTATGCAGCGAATACTAGCTCCTCCGCCACCGCTGCTCACGGTGAGAGCCATTTCTTTAGTTGTGTGGATATGTGAGAGAGGGAAGCGAATATAATGAGATTCGAAGAAGATAAGGAAACAAAAGAAATAACGTCATTCTTTCCGGGTCTTATTGAAACTTGACCCGACCCAACCCGATCCCAATTGACCCGATTCATTACGTATTAAATTTTTTTTTAAAATAAAAACATAAATCGAAGTTATACAAAATGATACAGCCCAATCTTACAATTAACATATGCTACGGACACACTACAATTTGAATCTTACGACAATATAATCCCCATAATAAAATACAGTCTTGGAGATTTAAATTTCTTAGTGAACATATTCGGGAATAATTACCACAATAATGTATATGGAATTATTTGTTTAGTCTTAAAGACTTAAACTAACGAGATGTTCGATAAATCCATCCAAATCCTTAACAGAGCTTCCACGTTCTTGGATCGCATCCAACGCTGCTTTCCTCAGTTTTGCGGCTCGGATCCTCTCCGTTTGCTTTCCGGTGACTGAATCAGCAAAAACTCGGGCTAACTCGTCCGGGTCAGGCACCGTGTCAGGTCCTTCGCAAGCACGCACGCCCACTTTCAACTCGTCGACCACCAGAGTCGCGTCAGTGTACTGATCTGCTCTCATCGGCCACGTCAGCATCAGCACGCCGTTAACAACGGCCTCCACGACGGAGTTCCAACCGCAGTGCGTTAGAAACGCGCACACGGCTCTGTGCCGGAGCACAGCCACTTGCGGGGCCCATCCTCTGATCACCAGACCTCTCCCAGCCACACGATCCTCGAAGCCTTCTAAGATATTGCCACGTGGTGACGAGTCTTCCTTGACGGCCCACACGAAATGGACGCCGCTTTTCTCGAGCCCAGAAGCGAGCGCGAGAGTCTGCTCCTTAGTCAACACAGCTTGACTTCCGAAGCACACGTACACCACGTGGCTATCCGCACGTGCGTCAAGCCACGACATCACGTGGTCGACGGAAACCGATGTTGGGCCACCACGATTGTTACCCTCGGATACAGGAAGAACTGGGCCTACGGCCCATACACGATCATGGCCCAGCTCTCGCTTAAGATGCTCGAGATAAACACCTTCCATGGCGGAAAACGAGTTCACGAGGAGTCCCCAACTCGTCGCGTTATCTCTGAAACAGTCTCTAATAAATTCCCAAGCTGGGTCTCCTTCAACGTAACTTAGGTAGATCGTGGAGATCTGAGACAAAGGGTATTTCCAACAATTCGGGATCTTGGGAAACTCGAGGATCTCATCGTCGTTTTTCCTTATGGGCATCTCGATCCAGAGAGTGTTGAGGATGCAGCAAGTGATAGCAGCGGAAGGAGAGAATTCGAAACGAGGGATTCCGAGATTCTTGGTCCATCCAAGGAAGAAATCAGAGACGATGGCTACAGGAGGAGAAGGGTGAGAAGTGATCCAAGATTGAAGCGGCGCGTGGAGGCTACCAAGCGCGTGGATCATGGAAGGGAAACCGGAAGGAGGTAAGTCTTGGACGTTTTCGACGCCGGAGGGAATTGAAGGGTGAGAGGGAAAAGGGAGGATAAGAGTTTCGATGTTAAGTCCGGCGGAGAGAAGAGTAGAGAGAAAAGGAAGGTTCTTAGGAGTGACTAGAACTGTGATAGTTATGGCGGAGCCGCCGCGGAGAGCGAGGTGGTGGGTGAAATCGAAGAGGGGAATCATGTGGCCTTGCGCCGGGAATGGGAAGATCAAGACATGGGATTTTGTCGGATTCTTGTAATTCTCATTCACTGTCATTATGAGTTTTTTTTTCTAGTGAGCTTTGTTTTTTTTCTTTGCCGGAATGTTGGTGAAGCAGAAGAGAAGACAGAGATATATTTAAATAGGTGTGTTACTGTCAAATAAACCATTTGCGTTACCAATGTTGTTTCGTCACTTGGAGAAAATGCTTACGACTCTTTTCGATAATACTGAGTGAATCCGAGTTTTCTATATTACTGTAGCATCAAATCACACTTCAGAAGAGCTTAATTTAGAATGAACAGATTAAGAAATATTTACGTAACGTCTCTTACATTGGTTACTTATTGTAGCAAAATGGGTCCTCGCTCCTCATAGGTACACGTCCTAAAACATGGAATTTTGTCTTTAATTTTTTAAAATCACAAAGATTTGGTGAGGTGTTTAGTAGGTGATTTACCAATAAAAGCGTGTGTATATTAGTCATCAAACAATAATTAAAGTATATATATATATTAAACGTTTCAAGTAAACATCTCTATGTGGATCGAGAAACAGAAATTAAAAATCGAGAAGAAATATAGACGTACTAGCTATTTATTGATCTTAGAATTAGGTTGTGATTATAAAAAAAAAAGTTAAGAGATATTAGAGGTGAATTGGTGATCAAAGCTTTAAAATAGAAACTTATATGTAGCATAAACCATATACAATAAATTTTTTTTCAAATTTAATTTCTAAGTTTGACATAAAAATTGAGTGACGTAGGCAATGTTTCTTTACGTCTTCAGTAGGCACGGCCATATTAACCGTGTCATCATCGCTCACTGACAAAGCCAAGTTCACAAGCGATAGCGAGATGGTCGCTTCCCCATTTCTACAAATTTTCATCGGTCAGAGACTTATAGGCAACTTTCCCAGTAATCACGGATTTACAGTCTTGAAAATGAAACAAGTTACTCAAGAAAGCAAAGAGTGAAGGGAAAAAAAAAGGTTAGTTTAGAAAAGAAAAAATTATGCATACCTCAGTTGGTAATCCACCTGTTCGTTCTAAAACATCAGTTGGCAAGGTTTCAAGAACCCTCACAGGAACAAGTTCCTTGGTGTGCCTGTTTCAACACCTCTGATTAACATTCCCATATATACAACAGCTCTGATTAATGATTGGGATTGCATAATTATAACTTGTATGCATATCACAACAATCGTACCATATGTAATCAACAGTTCCGAGGAACCTGGAATGATACGTTGTTGCCAAAGGTTCACCGCGTTGATCTCTCGTTCTATGGGTACCCTGAAAGCCCTAAGGTGTTAGCATACTAGAAAGACAGCTACAACATGCTGCTTTCCCTAAACGTTTGTTATAATCGAGTATAAAAGAAGGCCACACTTCCTATAGCTGCTCTGAGTAAACAAACTTTCATTTCTCTTGGATGTATGTTTTTTTATTCTTCAGGTAAGAGAAACTAAATTTAGTTTTTCCTGTCAAGCAGATTTCAACTCTATTCGATGAATCCAGCCAAGTTATCGGATTGAATAAAGACTTATTCATAGATCAAATGCCTCAAGCAGTAGTGAACAAGAAACAAAAACACTTACAGGAACTCCAGTATAAGCGCTGTTAAGCTTCAGTTGATGTTGGACATGAGTAGTTGCTTGACCACCAGTTGCAAGCTGTAGTTCTTCCTGACTCCATTCATTAATTCGTGACGCATAGGCAGCACTGAAAAATGGGGAGTTGTTTACTTAGACTAAATTGATATCGCACTGGCCAACGAAGAGATATAAGTGATCTACCAGTTCATCAGATAAACAGAAAAGGCACACAAATACATAACTCAGAGAAACCAAGCATCTCGACCAACTTCCAATTACCTAAAGGCATAATGGTTTCTAAATAACCTCTCCTTTGTATCAAGTTCAGACTGACCAGAAATATGCCTGCGGTCATGGAGTTGTGTATCCAACTGTGCAAAATGAAAAAGGAATATATAGAGTTCACTTCAACTATCCCAGCGAAGTAAGAAAAAGAAAAAAAAAGACCAGGCAAAATGTAAAGGCAAGAGTTCAGGACCCTCAATAAAACTCACATCCGCTGAAGTTACGAAATCATAGATTGGGCTCTGTCCACCAAATTCAGAACAAATATCAGAATAATTTTCAGCCAATAGAATAAGTAACCCGAAACAATAAAAAAAGTTGGTAGAAATCACCTTTGGAGTGCTATTCAGATCACCAGCAATTGCCACTGGAATATTTCCCCATTCCTGTGATAACTTGTAAGCCCTCTCTAGAAAGAGTCTGACCTAAAAGTTTGTGGTATTCCAAATATCAACAAAATGTTTGAGCTACTGAGAATTTCTTATCTATGCTACCAGGCATATATGTACTGATAAATACCACGAAATACTCTTCAAAAAGTTGCTATTATTTCTAAACGTAGGATGTGTAGTGTGAACAATGTTCTACAGATTCTATACATAAGCCAATTTCATCGGAATTTTGTAAGGATCTAGCAATCCGTACCTGGCCTAGCTTGATATCCCCACGCTTAGGATTGAACAGGACATGTATATTCCCAACCACTAGCCTTCGAGAACTTGTAGATGTTTGCCTAGAAATCAACCAAGTCAACGCAGTGAGCGTGGATATATAAAGATCTTAACAGTATCTTGAATCTTCTCTCCAGTAAAAGAATCAGAACAGAACTCAGACATACTTTGAAGATTGCGTGCATAATTTAGATTTTGGGTCCTCACAGTTCATCTGTTCCGAAATACAGAATCAAAAGAGATTAATTATTTGACAAGTACTGATACTAAAGCATATTAAGTAATTAGCATGGCTGCAAAGATAACAGAATTAAATTAAATCCCCACAATCAAGATGCATCTTATCCTATATCTGTAGTCCTATTAAATACTTTAAATGGTGCATACCTCTAAGACACAAAGTTGAGCAACATTGTTTCGCAGGCCAAATCTATCAAACTCTATTTCTTCATGGTGTAGAAGTTTAAATCTGCATGCACAGCACATCTATGACATGAATGGTGAAACTAGGAGAGGAAAAGTTTAATACAAAATAAACTACATCGAGAAACATTAGAAAGCAAAGCTTAGCGATATATTCTGAAGACAAGGTCGTAACTGATAACAACGTCAACCTATCATGAAGAATTTCGAAACATTTGAAAGAAAAACTAGTTAATACTTGTGAAATTAACTTCCTACACTCCAGGAAAGAGATATTCCCTTCGGAGAGTCCAAATGGCTAGATTCCTGACGCCAGCATATCGAGCCTTCCAACCACACACAAAATAACCCTAAATGGAAATAACAACTTACAGTTTCTCTTTCCAGAATATAGAACAACCATCACTCGCTTCTCCAGTACGAATCTACAAAAATATTAGACATTATAAAAAGAGCACCTGGAATGCATACGAGATTATACACTTTTTGACTCATACATACCTTGTGAACACCTTGGAAGCCCCTATTTTTAAGAAGACCATCTAGTTCATCAAAGCGGTCAACCTCCTGCAGTGAACTTAAATTCATGATAATGCAACCAGACAAACGTATCTTTCTACGCACGTAGTTGGATATAAATGAAATTTAAATATAAGTTCGCAACACAATGTAGCTCTAGGCCGTTCCTCTTTTTCTTTATTAACAAAGAGAACCCATTTCTCAACATGAGAGCAATCCTCCAATGAACCATTACATAAGGGAGATACAGTACATTAACAATGAACCAACTCAATAACTCATATGGAGAATACAACTACAGGAAAAAACCAAGAAAGACATTCAACAAGAGACAAACTTTGCTTGCGCCTTCTCATACGCATGGAATTTCCATGTTAATCATCCAATACACTATGCAAGCGGATAGTGTAAAGCCAAAAACTTGCCTGAAGACATAAGATGCTTGCATTATAGCCACCAATCTCCTTGCATATGAGATGTTTCCGTCTACTCCACTCCAGGTGCCTCGGCGGAACGTTGAAATACAAGTCCATGTGGTTCGACGCATTGTCAACGCCAAGTAGATTGTACGAGACTAAAACTACTTTATCTGATCAATGAAAAAAAGGTATCAGTTGATTTTTCATATCCTAAATTAAATGCATGATTAATGTATGCTACCGTACCGAGTGTGATTGCATTGCACAGACCTTTGAGATTTCTAAAATTGCTAGCGGAAAACACCCATTCGCGCTCAGAAGAACTCGAGATCTTCTCCTTGCTTATCCGTCGCCGGCGGCGAGAAGACTTACTTCGCCGGCTGGAAGGGTGGGATTTTAGGGTTCGGGCTCCAAGTGGTCGGGGTATTGACTCGTGATTATTGGATTTTTTGTATATGTTCACCGATGTTTCCGAAATTAAAGATCGCTTCCTCTTGGTGACGGTGATTGAGTGCCGCATCGTCGTCTTCTCCCGCTAGTAGCCACTCCGCATTCGTGGCGATCGATTCCGATTCCCACCGTGAGCTTTCAGCTTTCCGTTTGTCTTGTTGGAAAATTAAACCATATTCACTCGGTTGAACCGTATTCACTTGGTTATCCTTATGCCACCGGTTTATTTTGGATTTTCAATATTTTATTGCAAATCATATTCTGGTTCTAATAATATGGATTTTCATTTGATATCTTTATTCTCATTTTTAATGTATGTTCAGAACTAGCTTTTGAACTCAGTTGCCAATTACAAGTTTAGAGTTGAAATCCATAAAATTTAACAATATGTACAATTTAAATCAGATGTAGTGATTGATTTGTTTTGAGAAAAAATATACTAAAATACTGCTGTTTTGTTGTTAAAAACCCATGAGTAAACTTAGCAACTAGCAGAAAAATAAAATGTTTAGTTATATAATTTGAAGTGTTATATTTATACTATCCTTAACACCAACAAGTAACAACCATAAAACGAATATTCTTATCACTAAGATTTTGTTTGTTAATCTGGCTTTAATTAGAAAGAATTGTCTAAACGATATGGAAGTTTGATGCCAATAATCAATTGATCACTATGAATTATTTATCTATGGTTAGTATAAAGTATTCTCTTTAACATAAGTATATAATGTAATCTATGGTTCGAAGTAAACATAAGAGCTATAAGGACGTGGTGTCCAAACTCCAAACTCCAAAGATTCCAATATATATATTTTTTTTTTTTTTACTCATTCCAAATCATATATTTATGAGTTAATCGTCTCTTAAATGATTTAAATCCCGTATTTCTCTGTTAGCATTTGGTATGATGATTTTCCTCCTGTTTTAGCCGAGATTTGCCACGTGTCATAAACCCGTATAAACGATTGGAGAAGCGAAGAGACCCTGTTACCGCCTCCTCCTACATTCGCGCTACCTCCCTCCGTACCAAAACCCCAAAAACAAAAATCTTAATTTTTTTCTAATTGTTTTTTAATTGTAATTTACTAAAAACTAATCGTTTGAGTTTTATCAGTAATCAAATCAACCCACATTCCCATCACGTCTCCTTTCTCCGTCTCTCTGTTTTCTCTCAGGTTGGACCTCCTCCTCCACACGCGCTTCCAAGTTTTCCCCAGAAAAAAAATTCTTCTGGATTTTCAAGGTAAGGAGGAAAAATGATCGCTTTCTTCTTCCTCCTCATATTTTTATCGCCATGATCCTATTCTCCTGATCAAACGACTATATTAAATATGTTTTGACTTAGTTTTTCTATGTCAATTTTTCTATTGTTGCACCAAAATGTCCCCTTTTATTCATTTCCTGGTAGGTTCGTCTCTAAAAAGCGCTGTTTTTTATTTTCTTTCTTGCTAACATTGGAGTGTTGTTTGATCCTTATAAAAATGAAATGAATGGAACTGTGATTATCAGGGCTTAATGCCTCCTTCAAATTTGGAATTCCTTGCGTTTCAATTTGATCAAGCTGTTATATATTAACCTATCTTTGCTTGTGGAAAAAGAAATGAAACTAGACTCTTTTAGGGTTCCTCTAGCTTCTTCTTTCATGGATTTTTATCTAACGCTCAAGTCTTTTTTAAAAAATCAATCATGCATGTCTCAGGAGTTGTTGGTAGAGAATGAAGGAGTTTTGGGTTTATCAAGTGTTTCCATAAGAGTTTGGTTTTAGGACCTCGACGCACGCGTGATGAATTCAATGCGTGATCAATCAGGAAGCCCTTATGGAGACTCAACTCCTCGTAGTCCTTTCTCTCCCTTTTCTCCATTATCTGGAGACGAAAGGCATAGAAATCTGGCAGATTCCAAAAGAGATTCAACTCCTCGTAGTCCTTTCTCTCCTTTTTCTCCATTATCTGGAGATGATAGGCACAAAAGTCTGGCAGATTCCAAGTTTCAGCAAGCCCTTGCCAATTCCGGAGCATTAGGTACTTTACTTTCTTTTTTTTACTTTTTTGTTGTCTCAATCCATTCCCATTTCTACATAGGTATTCTTGTATTACTGTCTTAACTTGTATGTGTATGTATATAGATATACTTTTCTTCTTGTTTTGTGATTCTTGAATTGTCTTCTGTTCACGGCAGATCCATTATCCCCTGGATCAATGCACCATGGAGGACACAAGTTTCATGAGGTTTTCCAAATGAAACAGGGGCGTTATGATCTTCAAGCCTCAAAGATTTCTGAAATGATGAAATCGAGTAGCTTAGATGTATTTCCTCTTATTACCTTGTTAATGAATTTCTGCATTTGCTTGGATTTTGATTATTCGTTTTGAAACCGTTGGTTTTCTTTTGGATCCTCTTTACAATGTTCTTGGCATAATGTTTGATGCAGAATGCTCCTACGCAGTCACTTCTAAGCGTCGTGAATGGAATTCTTGATGAAAGTATCGAAAAAAAGAATGGTGAAGTCCCTCAGGTACTTGGATGACTTCATTTATCCTTTTTACTGGCTGGGAAATAATTTTGACAAAAGCTTATTATGATCAGCGAGTGGCATGTCTCTTGAGAAAAGTCGTTCAAGAGATTGAGCGACGCATAACAACTCAAGCTGAGCATCTAAGAACGGTATGGTTTTATTTACTTGATAGCAAATGTTCAATTCCCGGTTTTTTTTTTTTTTTGGCTGAGTAATTTCCTTTTGTTACCGTGCAGCAAAACAATATGTTCAAAACTCGTGAGGAGAAGTACCAGTCAAGGATTAAAGTCCTTGAAGCCTTAGCATCAGGAAGTGGTGAAGAGAATGAGGTAATCATTTGTTATAGTGAGTTTAGGCTTTGAGAGACTCATTGCTTAGGATCTTGTTTCATAATGTGTTACATCTGCCAAATAACTTTTTTTCTTTTTTGCCAGATTGCTACACAACAGCTTCGACAGATAAAGGTACCATTATTATACTACGAGTTGCTTTGTGAACTGAATTTAGTAAGAAGTATTTATAATAGGCTTGACAAGAAAACTAACCTGGACTTGGGATTTTTTTCTGAATGATAGACAGAAAAGTCAAACTGGGAAGAAAAGAAAAGAAGCGGAGAAGAAGATATGCTTAAGCTATTGAAAGAAAACGATCAATACAGCCTCCAAATTTCTGCGTTGAGGTGTGAACTGGAGACAACTAGAAAAGAATATGAACAACAATGCTCTCAATTGGAAAGCCAAACCATGGTCGGTACATTGCTTTATGAACTGACTTTAGTCAAAGTTTTCTAGTTTGATTAATGGCTTGGCCTGACATAAAATTTACCTTAACATGAGATTTTCCTGTTTGATATAGACAGAGAAGGCAAAGTGGGAAGAACAGTGGAAAAACGAAGAGGAGGATATGGCCAAGCTATCAAAAGAAAATGATCAATTCAACCTTGAGATTTCTGCGTTAAGGCAAGAACTAGAAGCAACTAAAAAAGCATATGAACAGAAGTGTTCGCAAATGGAAAGCCAAACAATGGTGGCAACAACAGGGCTTGAGAGCAGGCTGAAGGAACTTGAAAAAGAGGGAAGAGAAGCAAACAATGCAAAAACTGCCCTTAAGGAAAAGGTCAACGAGCTTGAAAAAATGGGAAAAGAAGCACATACTGCTAAAAAAACTCTTGAGGAAAAAGTAAAAGAGCTTCAACAAATGGAAAAAGAAACAAAAACTGTTAACACAAGCCTTGAAGGAAAGATTCAAGAGCTTGAACAAAACCTTGCCAACTGGAAGACTAAAGTCAAAGAAATGGAGGAAAAATCTGAGTCTAAACTCCAAAGTTGGAGTCAGAAAGAAGTTTCCTATAGACGCTTTATTGATAACCAGTCTCAGGCACTACAGGTATGTTTGCACAAACTGTTTGCTAGAGTAACTATTGTATAAGATATGGTTGGCTGATTAAGCTGAATCTCAGGAGCTGAGGTTCTATTCAAGATCCATCAAGCAAGAACTATTGAAGGTTCAAGAGAACTATACAGAACAGTTCAGCCAATTAGGTGAGAGAATCTTCTTATGGATACTAGTCATGATAGATTTTTTTCATGACCTTGTAACATTTGTAGTGTTTCTCTTCAGGAAAGAAACTGATTGAACTTAGCAATGCTGCTGAAAACTATCACGCTGTACTAACTGAAAACCGGAAGCTTTTCAACGAGCTTCAGGAGCTCAAAGGTAGTGAAGATCATGTTATGTATTGCTATTTAATATATGCTCGGATATGTAAATTTCCAAAACAGAATTGCAGCCTATAAGTTATATACTTGTGACTTGCAGGAAACATAAGAGTATTTTGCCGGGTGAGGCCTTTCCTTCCTGGACAGGGTGGTGCAAACACAGTGGTCGAGTACGTTGGTGAGGATGGAGAATTGGTAGTCACCAATCCCACTAAACTTGGGAAAGACGGTCTTCGCCAATTTAAGTTCAATAAAGTTTATAGTCCAAATGCTACTCAAGGTTACCCGCTCTGTTTTTCTTTTGCTTATCATTTACTTCATTATCATTTATATTATGTATTGTACATTTCGAAACATCAAAGTATATTTAAGTTCATTTTGATATTTTGGATTCTTGCAGCTGAGGTCTTCTCAGATATAAAACCCCTGGTTCGGTCAGTGCTTGATGGGTACAATGTTTGTATCTTTGCATATGGTCAGACAGGATCAGGGAAAACGTATACAATGGTATGTTTTCATTTTCCTTTTCTGAAAAAGAAATCTTCTTCTTCTTCTTCAGTGGCCTAAGCAAGATCATATGTTGAGTTTCATAGGAATTACACTGACTTGCGTCTTTTACCTTCTTTCAGAGTGGTCCAGACGGAGCAAGTGAAGAGGATTGGGGAGTTAATTATCGTGCTCTGAATGATCTCTTTAAAATATCTCAATTTCGTAAGGGAAACATAAATTATGAAGTGGGAGTGCAAATGGTGGAGATATACAACGAACAAGTTCTGGATTTGCTCTCTGAGGACAATTCTCAAAAGAAATATCCTTTTTTATTTTGTTTTAAAATTCTTGTTTGATCTATAGTTTTCCATTGCAAGTGTGTATCCATTCTTTCTTTTTTTGTTGTTTCCCTTGACCTGCACACACTAGGGATCCTTTCTACAACTACACAAAATGGTCTGGCTGTGCCTGATGCAAGCATGTATCCTGTGACATCAACCTCAGATGTGATTACATTGATGGAGATTGGACTACAGAATCGAGCTGTTGGTTCTACTGCCTTGAATGAACGAAGTAGTCGCTCTCACAGGTTGGTTCTTCTTCATATTGATTCCCATGTAACAAAAACAAACATGTTTTTTTAACACCGATTTGTATGACTCCTTTATATAAATATGCAGCATTGTCACTGTTCACGTTCGTGGTAAAGACATGAAGACCGGTTCTGTTCTATACGGCAATCTTCATTTGGTGGATCTAGCAGGAAGTGAGAGAGTAGATCGCTCTGAAGTAACAGGGGACAGGCTTAGAGAAGCACAACATATAAACAAATCGCTCTCATCTCTTGGAGATGTGATATTCTCTCTCGCTTCAAAGAGTTCCCATATACCATACAGAAACAGCAAGCTAACACAGATACTCCAAAGTTCTCTTGGTTAGTTAAGTTAAATTGTTATATTCTCTAAACAAAACCTTTAAGAAGGAGAAAATATCATAAGCTTGTTTCTATGTGATGTTGGCTTTTATACAGGAGGACGAGCAAAGACCCTAATGTTTGTGCAACTCAACCCTGATGCTACTTCATATTCAGAGTCAATGAGTACCTTGAAATTCGCAGAGCGTGTTTCTGGAGTCGAACTTGGTGCTGCAAAGAGCAGTAAAGAAGGTAGAGAGGTTCAAAATTTAATGGAACAGGTTAGTAAAACACACTTTTCTCACTCGTCTTCTCTCTCTTATATACTATGATCTTGCTTGCCATTAGCTCTAGATATATATATATATATATATATGAATCATTTTGTTGGTTTACAGTTAGCGTCCCTTAAGGACACAATAGCGAGAAAAGACGAAGAGATAGAGAGGCTTCATTTGGTAAAGGATAGCCATCATCCGCAGAGACTTCAGAAACCAATGATGTTGAGAAGAAAGAGCTTTGGACAAATCGATGACGTAAACTCAGAAACAGGAGACTATTCATCACAGTCAAGGCACTCTGTTACTGACGGCGAGAGTTTCTCTTCCTCTGTCGAAGCAGAGTACGAGGAGAGGTTGAGCGAGGCTACTTCTGATGCTGCTTCTGTCGGAACTCAAGGATCCATGGATGTTACTAAAAGACCACCCAAAATTTCAGACAGGTTAAAGACATCATTGTTTCTTGTTTTAGTTTTTTTTATGGTTTTAATAGATCTTTGTGTTGTTTTAAAACGTTTTAATTGCAATCGCAGAGCTAAGTCAATGACTTCAAGGTCAACAACGAGTGTAACACGACCACTCGATAAACTTCGGAAAGTAGCTACGAGAACAACATCGACCGTTGCTAAGGTCACGTCGGGCATGTCCACATCAAGTAAGCGAAACTGAGAGATTATACATACTAGATTACAATTTGAAGATTAAAAGTGTTAAATTTGTGTAATTTTGGTTTATTATCAGATTAATTACATTGATTTTTTTTTTTATAATGTTTCTCAGGTATTAAGAAGACTGGAACCGTTTCTAGTTTGGCAAAGTCCTCTAGACGGTGGGCGTAAATTTATGCTTTTACCCTAGCCACCATAACCTTACACGAACACTGCATATATCTTTTTGTTTTTGTTTCAGAAAACTTTACGTACCTTAACTTATTTCGACTTTTTTTTTTGCATTTTCCTCAAATATCTGGCTTCGACTGGGACTACAAATTTGTCCAATAATTTATCTTATTTATGTACACACTTTGTAAATACGAAGCTTAGTATTTCACAAATTTTCTTATAAACCAATGGAAAATAATTGATCACACTTTTAGGGTATTGTTGGCAACTCATGCATAGGGTGATGGGATTGTAGAAAAATCCTGCGATTTTTCGTAGTACTTATACTAATCACATGATTCTCCAAAATAATAATTTATATTCTAACTATTTGCTAATCCAACAATTTTATAAGCGAATTAATTGCAATTCCTCTTTTAATGATTCAGCTATTCGTAAAATAACAATCTCAAAATTTGCTCCTTGGATGTTTGTCTGATCATTTGTATTAAATTTAAAGAAATTGTATACTTTTGTAAACTCGATTTGAAATCAATATATTTATTTTGATATAAATATATGATCATAATTTCTTACGATTCTTTTCTAATGTTATCTTAACAACATAACTAATAAATTCTATCTGAAGTATGGAACAAGTAATTTGATTTTCTTCCCTGAAAGACTATATGCCTAATACTGTGATTCCTTGAGTGTATGAGTCACCATCCTTACCTAATAAAGCCTGAAATTTTATTTCAAAAAAGTAAAAAGATACAGAGCAAGAAATGGAAAAGCAAAGAGAAAGAAAAATGAACTAAAGCAATCTACAGTATATCCTATCTACAATAAAAAAACTTTTTGGTGTTCTTTATTTGTGGTTTTGTCTAAAAGATCTCCTACAATATGACGTGTAAAAAGAAAAAGAGAAGGGATGTGGGTGGGGAAAGAATAAAGGGTATATTCTGAGATTTGATTAAAATAGTGGGGTCAATGTGGAGGAAAGAAAAGTGGGGTGGAATCTCTTTGAAGCGCCTTTCCATCTTGAATTATCTTAACTTTGCTCATCTTCTCTTCACACCAGTGTAACATCTCTTCATTCATTTCTTTCATCCTCAATACTCTTGACACCACTTTCAGGTCTATTAAACCCATCAATATCTCCATTTCCTCCTCTATACTCATCTTCTTCTTCCTCATGTATTTTCCTCCTTTACTCATCTCTTTTAGCTTCGCCTTTTTCTGTTCACGGTTATAAATGATATAAGATATAATTCACGTAATGTTGATAAACATTAGACTCTTTACAGAAAGTAGAAGAGCACATTATTTAATAATGATAATATTCAGAAAACTTAATCCTTTTTAACCGACCTTTTTAAGTTATATAAAGTAGTGAAATATATAGAAATGTTGAAATATATTTGACCTTTGTGTTGACTTTCTTCATGAGATGGACAAGGGTTGGATCAACGGAGCCTCGTTTAGTTCTCCCGAAAAAAGCTTTGATGATCTTTTGACAAGGCTTCTCTTTATCCGCTTTGAGAAAGTTCATGAATGTTCTTATGCATTCTTCCATTATCATCAAGAACGCAGCTGACGTTATCCTTGCCTTGAAACCCTCTTCTTCTTCTTTCTCTTCCTCCTCCTCGTAATCTATATCCAAATTATCAGACTATTATTTAGCGAATAGACCCTCTAAGACTACCGAATGTACAAGCATGGCCTTTCATATAGAATTAGCTACCTTGATATTCAGGAACAAGAAGCAATTTGGGAGCAAGAGTTCGCATTCGAGCATAAATCTCTGGTCTCCTTCCATGTTCATAAGGCTCGTTCTCGACGTATCTTTGTAGTAGAATATGAAACGTACGGAATTGGTCGGCGACTCCGGCGGGACATCCGATGTCGTTGAAGCTAATTCGTTGCGTGGATGATCTTTTTCTCTCAAAGTTTTTGTAGTTCCAACTTAGAGCTTCCCATGTTAGACATATCTGTGCCACGTAAGCTGCTTCTAGTTCCACGTATGGGTTTAGTCTTGAACCGTTACTACTTGGATGTTGTTCATGTCTTTTCTTATGTCCGTTTGATGATAGCTTGTGAACGATCCTCTCCGACATTGATCTTGGCTCCACCATGATTGACTTCAACGATTCTGTATAAGATGTGTTCAAGCCAGATAAATCGATTGGACAAATTAAATTTTTTCAAACCAAATATTAATTATAGTTCTAAGAATTTTTTTTTAAAAATCGAATTGACACTTAAGTTTCTTTATTCAGATAAAAAGGTTGACTAAAACATGATTTTGTATACAGTATATACCACCAACTCGTAAAAGTTTTTCCTTTTTTTTTTTAGTTATTATTTTTCTAAAACGGGAAAAATAATAATCTCCAAACCAAAGCCAACCATAAAGTTCCGAATTTTTTTCTCATAATCTTCTTAGACTCAAACTAGTCTTCCTTAATAGTTGTGGCAAGTTTACAAGTACAAATCATTTTTTCCCAAATGTAGCAACTAAAACTCAAACTCGACCCAATCCAAATTTACTAATTTAGTGTTGACCATTCTATCGTACGTGTTTAATTAGAAACATTATAAAACTTTATTTATTCGAAATAAAAACGTACGGTACTAAACTTTATAAAATGATGTTTTATTTACCTGTTTCCTGAAGCTTTTGAGCAGATATCCTAGTGAGAAAAGTCATTTCTTCGTCGTATTTTTGGAAGACGGTGTAAGATTCCCATTTAGGGCAACTCCGGCGAGAGGATGAGGAAAACGGGTCGTCGGTTTTAACAGAATTTCTCCATTCCGATGAGCTTTTGGACGTTGAACCGTTCGTACACGACTCTCCGAATATCTCTCCTCTCTCATCTTCTTCTTCTTCCTCTGACTGTATCTCCACGTTTACTTTCTTGATTCCTCCATTAGGCACAAACTCTCCTGCAACCAAAATAATAAACAAATCGAAACATGGTTAGCACACCGGGTTAAGAGAGTACTGTTGCTGCTATTCTAATTTCGCGGTTTTAGAGAAACAAATAACGTCATAATAAGTAATATCATTGAAATTTAATTAATTGAGTCTATACATAAGTGATCCCATATTAAAAATAAAATGAGACATAATAAGAGATAGAACAGATACAGAACATAAAACTAACGTACTATAATTAGTTTCGAGTCAGAAATTCATCAAACTTGACATTATAACAAGAAAAATATAGTGAGTATTATCCATATACTTTTTTTCTGATCATGTCTAATCGGATATACGACCTATCTTTACCGAAATTTATTTCAATTTTTTATTCAATGACCGGTGAAACCGTGTTAATCTTGGTTACTTGTAGAAAGAAAGAAAACAACTTTCTATTTGCATGTGAAGAAAAATAATTAAAAAAAAATGTTAAAGAGATTGTAAAAGAAAATAATACCTGTGTGGCTTTTGTCATTGAACACCAAACCACTTTGGATAGGAGAGGGACCACGAATACTTCTGTCTGGTCGTTTACGAATCAAATCCTCAACGACGTCGTATCGTGACACTCCTCCTATCTCATCATCATCATCATGATCGTAACGATCGTCATGAAGATCTTCAACGCCTTCGTCTTCATCTTCTAGTGATGATTCGCTGCGATAAGGAGAAACATTGGCAGAGGAAAAATGTTCCTCCTCTGTGGAAGAACTGTTGGAATCTTGATCATCTTCTTCCTCGTGTTCTTCATGAGTATGATGAACATTCATAAACTCCTTCGTGTGTCGATTATTTATGTCAATTTTGGGATTATTATTGTAAAAGACTAAAGATTCTCCATCCTCTTCTATGTCGGCTATCAAATGATCCGGTTTTTGATCTCTAGGTATGACAAGGTAACTTGTATTACACGATATCTTGAATTCTCCCCCTTCCTCTTCTTCTTCCTCCTCTTCTTCTTCCTCCTCTTCTTCCTCATCGGACAACCACGCTGCGGAATCATATTCATCTTCATTCCTACTCAATAAGAAAACTATTAAGATTTTTCCTAACTGAGAAAAAATTCTTAATGTTTTCTCTGATCGGTATTCAAAATTATAAGAATTTCAGCAATAATAGCCATGAGTTTTGTTCTAACTATATGCTAAATACTCTATTAGAAATACATAACTAAAACTTTCTTCAATATTTATCTTATGCATATATGTGTATGCATAGTAAAGAAAGCATATACATATGTACCTTTGAAGGAGAGGATAGCCGCCGATGAAGTGGACGAGCTTGAGGAGGAGAGAGACGGCGGAGTAGAGGAGGAGGAGAATAAGAAAGAAGGAGGTTGAGACATTGATGAAGAGACTTGCTAGTGCTTCTTCATTTGTATAACATTGCATTTTAATTATATCTCTTTTCTCTCTTTCTTTTATCTTTTTTATCTTTCTTCTTCTTCCTATCAAATGGAGAGAGAGAGAGACTTCCTTAGCTACGAATTCAAAAGCAAAGTTGTTGATTTTACTCCCCAAAAAAAATATAAAAGTGGCTGAGTTGAGTGCTTCTCTCTTTTATTTCTTATCATTTTCTTATTAATATGATTTTATATATATATATATAATTTTAGAAATATATTTACAGAATTGAATTTCTTATAATTTCCTTAAGACAAGATTATACGCCTACTCATTTCTTAAAGGGCATGCTGATATAGCGATATTATACCAAGTTCCAAGTATGAAGATTATTGGCTCCCTTTACCTCATTTTTTATATATTATTAAATTAGATTTTTATAATCATCGTTATGTAGTGGAAGTGAAATGATCGTGCGATATATGAATTTTTACCCGAATTTTCGAATTTTACCAATCAGGTATATATGCAGAATCTTGATTTCTAATATACGATTATATAAGGAATTCAATGAAATTTATGATAACAAAAAAAGAAGACAATTTGATTTGTTGAAATTGATAAACTTGAATTTGGCAGAACATGCATGATGGGAGATGAATGTAGTGGAAGACTATTTTTACCTGAAAGAATAAAAATAAAGCCGATGACGTTTACCGACTTACTAAAGGCAAGAATCCTATTAATATTGTATAATATGGATCAAATAATTAAATTATCGCGTACAAAAATTATGGATGGAAACAAAAATAAAAAGATCTCTGCAGCAAAAAGAAAGTGAAGAGGCCAAAACCGTGTCACACGCTTCTTAATGCAAACTTTTTTTTTTTTTTGAGAAAGGGTTTCTTAGTGCAAACTTGTGTTTAAGCTTTTGCTTTTCCCAAAGAGATATTTTATATGATAGGTCTATATGACTACTGTATATATATATATATATAGATATATAAATGCATGTTTTTTTTTTTTTAAAGGATATTTTATTTTGATAATAGTAGATACAACAGCGATATTACAACCCACTTCGAATATAAAACAGAAACCACAAAGCAGCAACAATTATGGAGGATGAAAAATAGCGAACCAAGTAGTAAGATACGATACCGTGGATGGCAGGTTCCTTTGCGCGCGAGACAGGGGATCAAGTCTGCAACGGAGAGTTTTTGAAATGTCTTCGATGATTGCTGAAGAAGGACGAACTAACCCTGAATGCAAACGAGAGTTTCTCTCCTTCCATATGAGGTATATTAAAGCTTGAAAGATGAGCTTTAGGATAAGAGCAACATTTCTGTCGGTAGTAGGATCCTTCATCCATCTCAAACAATCCTCAAACAGAGAAGGAGGAAAGAGATGGGCTTTGGTGGTAAAGAAGGACCATACCTGATGACTGAAGGAGCAATCGAAGAAGATGTGCTGGCGAGTTTCGTTGGCTGAGTTACACAACAGGCAGGAAGCAGGAACATTGAGACCCCAAGAAGCTAACCTGTCTCGAGTGGGAAGCCTGTGTCTTGCCGCGATCCAGGAGATGAATGCATGCTTAGGTATTCGATTCTTGAACCAAACCAAGGAGTACTATTCAACTTCTGCTTCCATCGGATGGAGAGAAGCCCATGTGCAGGAAGATGAGAAGGTGTCCTTACCTAATCCATCAGACGACTTCCAAAGATAAAGGTCATCTACTTCTGATTCTGCAATACTAGAAGATGGAGGGAGACACTCTTGAAGTAGAGAAATAATTGGGTGACGCGATCTAGAGGAGGATACACGCCATTGACCGAGATGCAAGGCATCAGCCACAACTGCGGAGATGCTAAGACCCGTTACTCTTGGGCCATTAGAACCAACAATCTCGATAAGGGGGCCTAAAGTTTTCCAATTATCCTCCCAGAAGCTCGCCGAAATTCCCGATCCAACTTGACACAATAGAAACTGTCTTGCTATAGGTCGCAGCTTACACAAGCTTTTCCATATCCAACTCGAAGAGTTTCCCGGGTCCTAAGACCAAAAATTTCCAGAACCAATGAGATTATGCCGCACCCAGGAAACCCACAGAGATCCTCCAGCAGAGAAAATAAGCCAAATCAGCTTTAAACCCAATACTCTATTCCATGCGGAGAGCCTCCGAAGACCAAGACCACCACTCTTCTTAGGAGTACAAACAGAGTCCCAACTAACCTTTGCCCCTCTAGCTGAATTTGGAATACCTTTCCAGAGAAATCCATTACACATTTTTTCCAGAGTCGCGATACAACTGTTGGGCAACACAAAGACCGAAGCCCAAAAAGTTATAGTAGAATAGATCACCGACTGAAGCAACTGTAAACGACCAGCGAAAGAAAGATGGCGAGAGGTCCAAGAGGAAAAGCGACTAGTTATCTTCTCTATTAGGGGCTGATAGTCCTGTCTTCGCATTTTTTGGGAAGTAAGAGGGACTCCCAGATAACGGACTGGAAAAGAACCCTGCTGAAGACCAAAGGAACTAGCCACATTCCTCACCAAATCAAGATCACTACCGTCAATAAACACAGCTGTCTTCTCTCGATTTAAACGAAGGTCCGATGCGAGATAAAAATCATCTAGGATATCCATAATTCCGTGAAGAGAAGGCTCTGAACCATTAAAGAATATGAGTACATCATCCGCGAAACTCAAGTGTGTGACAAGAGGGGCGAAGCATTGTGGATGCGGGATGAAGGCTTCTGAGGCGGCCCCACTATCAAGCTTCTTTGATAAAATGTCCAAGGCTAGAACAAAAAGAAGAGATGACATGGGGTCACCTTGACGAAGGCCCTTTTTGCCTGGAAAAAACCCAATCAGCTCACCGTTAAGAGACACACTGTAAGTTGGAGAAGAGATACAAGTTTCGATCCATTTGATAAAAGTGAGCGGAAGCTCAAAAGCGTGAAGAAGGTTCAGCAAAAATTTCCAACTTAGGTTATCATACGCTTTTGTCAAATCGATCTGCAGGCAGCCACGAGAGGAGGGACCAACTTTATGAAAGTTTGTGACTAGTTCAGAAGCCAATAGTACATTCTCGCAAAGGAGCCGACCTTTCAGAAAACCAACTTGGTTTCCTTGAACGGATGAAGGCACAAAAAGCTTGAGACGAGCTGTGATGATACGAGAATTTACTTTGTAGACCGTAGTGCAACAGGCAACCGGCCGGAACTGAGTTAACATGTCTGCTCCTGTTACCTTTGGAATCAGCATGATTGCGGTGTGGTTAAACCGCTTAGGCAAGGCGCCAGATAGAAAGAATTCCTTTACCGCAGAAGTGAAATCAGTCCCAACAACTTCCCAAGCTTCTACAAAGAATTCCTTAGGTAGCCCATCAGGTCCAGGTGCCTTACTCTTGGGCATAGAGAATAGAGCCTTTTTGATCTCAACATCTGTAGGAATGGCAATTAGTTGGGAAGCCAGAGAAGATGAGCATCTAAATGGGTGAATTGACTTTATTGTTTCGACAGAGTAAGAAACGACTTCGCCATTTACCGAACCCAAAAGATTCTGGAAGTAAACGATTATACAGTCTTTAATTTGGTCCTGATTCTCAACTCTGGTGCCATCCTCAAGACGAAGCGTTCTGATAAGATTGCGAGCTTGACGAGCGATGACAGACTTGTGAAAGAACTTGGTGTTCTGATCTCCCTCACTAAGCCAACGAATTCAGGATTTTTGCTTATAGAAATTCTCAAGGGCATTAGAGAAGAAAACCCACTTCTTCCTAGCATCACATTCTTCTAAAACCAAAGCGTTAGTAGGATTTGTCATAAGGTTCCTCTGTACCTCTTCAAGATGATCAAGAGCATCTTGGGTGCGCTTCTGAATATTACTGAAATCTTCCTGATTCAAAGCTTTACAACACATCTGTGCAGCCTTAAGATTCTTTCCAAGAGTAATCAATTTGGATCCTGCAAATTCAACTCCGTTCCAGTCTCTAGCGATGGAAGCGGTAAAGGAGGGATGAGTGGATAAAAAGGAGAAGTACTTAAAACTTTTCTTACCACCCTGGACCGGAGCGGCAAGATGTACTAAACACGGTGAATGGTCCGAATCACTTGGAGGATCAAAAAGTGCCACTGAGTCAGGTTAGGCGTTAAACCAAGCCTCATTAACAACCGCCCGATCTAGTTTGCGAAGGATGGGATCTTCAGGTCGCAAATTGGTCCATGTGAAAAAAGCTTCACGAGAGGGGATGTCTGCAAGCTGGTTATCTTCCATACAGCATGATAACTCTTCCATGCCCCTAAGAGGTAGATTAGAGTATCTTAAAGAATAGTGTTCATCAGAAGAAACGATTTGATTGAAGTCACCTATAAACAAGGAGGGAGTGGAACTCATAGGATGATCTGAATGAAGAGATGATATGTCCGCCCATAATCTCCTTCTCTCAACTTCACAATTTCGAGCATAGATAAACGTTACCACGAAGGAAGTAGAAAAACCAGGCAACTTGACACTGCACACCATCATCTGGTCGGTAACCGAGAAGACAATAACCGAAACTGCCGGGTCCCAGACGACCCAAATTCTTCCATTCTCAGCAGCCGAGTAATTATTTTCGAACCTCCATCCAGGGAAGGTGGATGACAAAATATTAGGCGCATCATTATACTTTACATGCGTCTCTAAAAGACAGCCAATAACTGGTCTATTGCGAGTGACCCAGTTTCGAACTATCCGCTGGCGAGAGAGTGATCCAAGACCTCGGATATTCCAACAAAATGTCGCCATAATAATACCAAAAAATATAGGGAAAGCAAAGCTTTTAGAGAGTATCATCCTTACCTGAAGAAACACGGGTAAGGTTGCGATTTGTAGAATCCGGAGACTTCGTATTTTTGGGGTCGATAAGAGCATTAAAAACCGTAGCTCTAACCAACTTCCTTGCTTTGCCAAACGATTGGATAGGCGGCTTCTTTAGAGAACTGGAGTGTGATCTTCGTTGGACAATCTCCCATTTTGACTCGGAAGAAGGTTCAGTAATCGGGACAATGCTCTGCAAACAATCATCCACGTGAGGGTCAATAATGTCCGGAACCTCACCTGGTGTAGAATCTGCATCAATCGGTGCCTTGTCCCCCATCACAGGGCCCTTAGCAACCTTGCAAGCAGACCCCAAAGCAGACGAACTACACTCCCCAACAACGAAATCAGGAGAGGCTGGAGGGAGTGTGTTACCGCAAGATTTTTTTCGAGCCACAGACCTTTTGACAGTGTTCTTGTTACGATCTGGGGATACAGGGGTATCTTCCTTATCGCCAACAGAGGTAGGATCAGCCAGAGATATCTTGGAGGAGGCGACTGCTATTCTGGGTATTTCCTTACCCTTTGGTTTCTTTAGTAGAGGCATCGGACATCGATTAAGTAGATGCCCAAATTTTCCACAATTGCAGCATTTAGGAGGGAGGCGAGGGTATTCCGCCCGGATTCGAACTGTGTTTCCCTGAGTATCGCGGACAATAACCACTTCGGGTGGTGAGCTATCAAGAGTGATCTCGACCTTGACTTTAGTGTCTCCAAAGTGATAAGGGTCAAGCTTCGACTTCTCGGTATGCAGCGGCTCCCCAATAGCGCTGGCGACAAGGCTGATACCATCAAGGGAGTATAACTGCGGAGGAAGATTCTTCAGCACTACCAGAGTAGGAGCTGTCAGCAGTTCTTGGATCTGGAGATTGCCATCAGGAGACCATGGAAATACAGAGAAAGCGCAGTTAGCAGCTTGCCAATATCCGACTTCGAGGACCCATTCCCTGGTTTGAAGAGAGGGGATGAGTATGAGACAGGAAGTATCGGAGACAGTGCAAATTGTTATATTTCCGAATTTTCCCCAAACCGGGTTTAGGTCATGGAAAATTTTTTCGGGAAGAGGAATCAAGCCATGAAATTGGGCGACGATATGACCCTTCCATAGGTCAGCCGCTTGTAGAAGAATTGATTCCGGAGCAAGGACCACTGGAGAGCCATCTTTGATTGAGGTAGGTGCTGAGATTTTTCTGAGGTTCCTGAGAGAAGCCTTGAACCGAGCCGCGTAAGAGGGAGCCGTGGTAGAAGGAATTTCCCCAGGAACTGAGGAGACGTGAGGAGGAGCCTGAATTGTGGACGTGGAGACGGGATCTGGAAGAGAGGATGGTGGTGGAGGAAGGGGATTAGGATCGGGAGGATCAGGAGGATCAGGAGGGGAGAGAGAAGAATCCATTAGAGGTTGAAAAAGGGAAAAAAAGGGGATTCTCGTTGACTAGCGAGAGGCTAGCCGCCGGTGTGGTTAGGAAGAAACCCTAATCGCACTATCGCTCAGAATGAGAGAGCTCAGAAATCGCAGACTAGCTAAATGCATGTTACGTGTTCAATTAACATGGTACACATAAAGCACATTTGAATAAAATTCATATCTTAATGTACATGTCTTATGCATGTCTAGCGTTAGATTTGTGCTAAAATTATTAAGGAGAACAACCTACCAACAATATTTGTAAGCATTTATATATTATGCTGGTTAGATTCGTACTAATGAATGTATCTTTTATACCCCCAAAAAAAAAAATCTACCAAAAACATAATATAAAATGCGAGAAATTGAAACAATCTGAAAATGAGAAGAGACTTGATCTAGTATAAAAGTGTCATGGACCACTCTATTAACTGGCAGTTAATTTAGAGTTGAAAATACATGTAGACTCACATAGTTTTAAAGATCAAATAGATACGAATGTAAATACATCTAAAATATTAGATTTGGTCAAATTATCAATTTGTCTGAACTTATAGTTTCATAGACATCCAAAAACTGTATATAACAAATTTATATGTACTTCTAATTTAAGCACCATCTTTCTTTAAAAAAAAACTCCAGTTTAGGTGTAAAACTATACAAGAAAAAAATTAATCGTTTTTAGCCAAAAAAATAATAATAATAATAATAATAATAATAATAATAATAATAATGGTATATTGATGGTATAAAATTTTTTTTTATAAGTAATACACATTGATAGTCGATTTTTAATATTGAGCCGAGAATGATACATGGGCCGGGTCTAACCTTATGAGGCATATTGAGCGAGGCCCAGGTTTGTTTCACTTACTATTGTGTCGCTGCGCACTGGGCGAACCGTGATACGAGAATACTCCGTTTGTCACGGTTGCGACCACCGACGAGGACAATGGCGGGTAATAAAATCGGTCGTGACGGTGGTTTACCGGCAGATCTCACCGGAATGACCAAAAGTCAGCTCTACGATATCATGTCTCAAATGAAGGTGCACTTCTCTCTTTTCTCTACTCCCCGATTATCAGCTACACTCTTCCTCGAAGGTTTTTAATCCTTTACGGATTGAAAAGAGGATTTTCTTTTTTTTTTTAACTTCTTTCCCAAAATCAGTTTTATATCGATTGAATCTGATGGTGCAGGCGCTGATTGATCAAAACTACCAACAAGCGAGGGAGATTTTGATTCAGAATCCTCCTTTGACGAAAACTCTTTTCCAGGTTTTTCTCAACTTCCCTAGTATTTGCATTTTGTGCTGTCTGATAAGCTAGGGAGATTCTGATCCGGAGCTTCTTACTCTTATTTTGTTTGGACTAATTTGGGATTAGTATTGTTGTAGTAGCAGTTGATTAACAATTAGGGTTTTGTGTGGTTTCCAGATTTATGCCTGGGCAACTGCGAATGTACAAAAAAAATCCATTGATAGATAGATTTTAGATTTGTATATCGAGATTGATGATGATACTATATTTGTTAAATGCCAGGCACAAATCATGCTTGGAATGGTTCAGCCTCCTCAAGTGGTATTTGCTTGGATCTTTTTGACAAACAATTTTCTTTAAGTCATTTTGGCTGTAGTAGTCTCATTCCATGCATCTGAAATTTACAACTCTCTTTATCTAGATTCCGAAAGTTGAGCCTCAAGTCTCGCAAACTATACCACCAAAGCCAAATGTTCAAGCTCATATTTCTTCAGTTCAAGGCGGAGGCGGATTACAAGAGCCAGCACCTGCAATGCAGCCACAAGCCCCTATTAGAAAACACCCGACGCCACAACCGATGCCTATGCCTCCGCCTTCTGTTTCTACAACCATCAATGCTCCATCACAGCCACCTTTCACGCATCCCCAGCGTCAGGGACATCTGAATCCTGCTGGCACTTCTCTGTCCCATCCACAATCTTCTCAGGTTCAAAGCGTGCCTCCTCCGGTTCCCCATCATCCGACATCCCAACCACCTCCGTTTCATCATCTTGATATGCCAGCCTCCTCGACTCAGTTGCAACAACAACAACAACAACCAATGCACTCAGGTGGAGGTTCTCATTTGGCTCAGCAACAGCCTAGACCATACCATCATCAGTTTGGACCAGCCCAGACTGGTCCAAACACTGGGTTTCAGCATCATGGCGCTCCTTCTCAGCATCATTCTCAACCTATGTTTCATGTGAGTTTGAGTTATTAAGTAGCGATTATCGTTCTTCTTTGGTCTCATTCAATGTGATTTATGTTTTTGATGGGCTAGAGCTCGTTATTTGAACCATTTTACAGTCAGGGAACAGACCCCCTGCTTCTGGTGGACCTCAATTCCCGCAGGGACAGCCACATCTGCCTAGCCAGCCACCATATCAGGTATTTATACTCTTACTTTCTAATATTTTTAGGCGATATTCGGTGGTTTTGCTGATTGAGTATGCAATTATGTTGCTTTATTTCTTGTACTAAATCCCTAGTGCCATACTTTCAGTGAGTAGTTTCACCATTTAATGAGGATTCTTTCCAACATATTTCATAATTAATCGTAATTAGATGTGGGAAAGTGTTTTCTTCAGGAATGATTCTGCTTATAGTCGTTTGTTGTTATCGTGTTTTAAGTTCTGATTACGTTTTTGCTTAAAATAATAAACGTTCTAAATGGAAAATATGCACGTTTTAGTTTAGCTGGTGGGTCTCACTGCTTGTAATCTTGACTTTTGTTTCAGGGAGGAGGTCAATTTCGTGGAGACTACAACAATAACCCATTAGGAGGCCCCATGGCTGCAGACAGAGGTCCTTCTTGGATGGCTGGCCAATCGGAGAGCTCAAACATTACTCATCTCCCAGGCTTAGGACCGATTCCTCCACCAAGCCAAGTTGGCCCTGGAGGCGGCCCACCACCTCGGCCTGCACCGGTAATCTACCTTACCCTATTTCAACTTTAAAGATACAGCCATTGAACCGCTGGTGCTTCTAGGATTAATATTCATGTCGATGGTTTGTGTAGTTATTTCGTTCTCAGCATTCGTTTGCCAGTTGCAGTTGTGTCTTTTACCGGAAGTGACTTTTGCTGACCACAGAGCAATGAGCTTATCTTCTTTTGTTAATGATTTTAATCTTCATATTTGTGCAGATATCTGCAGAGATGGAGAAGGCATTACTTCAACAGGTGATGAGCTTAACACCAGAGCAGATCAATTTGCTGCCACCAGAACAGAGAAACCAAGTCCTTCAGCTTCAACAAATTCTTCGACAGTGAATTTCATTGATACTATGATCCTCTGGTCTCCGTGGTAGCACTTAGAATAGAGAGGTTTTGGCTTTGAATGTAGTAAGGTCGCAGAAAAGTTTGGGATAATTTGTAAAAAAGAAAAGTAATTAGTTTCTTTTTTTCAAGTTCAAGGCATCACTTATACTTTTTGGTCATAACTCCCTGAAGAAAATCTATGTGGTTTCTCAATTTGATTTACTGTTCGGTAACAATTTTTGTCTGTCTTTCACTATTTCGACGTCTTGTTTACAGTTTTCTTCAGACTTGTTTCACATTCTGTGTAATACTTTAAAAAAATGTATACCATTTTCAAAAGAGAATTTCCAACGAAAAAGTCTAAGAGTGGCATACATAAATCACTAAAAACAAAAGGATTTATATATGGCGCTAAATGTACTAATCTTTTTTTTAAAGAAAAAAACATGTTTTCTGTGTGTGTGTTAAACTGTTATCATACTTGTTCTAGTAGATATATCAAAATAGATTAGAAATGTACAAATTAAGATTACTTAAAATGGGGATTCAAGATTTTGTGGGTTAAGAGTTATGAATAAAGACTTCAGAGAATCGAGGAGCTAACAACTCCTCCACATTCAAGTTGAGCCACTTCCAAAAATTTAGTGGTTGGTGGTTCCCACAATGTTTCTGGATCCTTGAACTTGCCCATTTTTTGTTCTCTGCCACCAAATGATGTGATCACCAAATTTATTTATATAGATACCTTTTGGTACCAAATATTTATTTGTTTCCCAAAACTAACCCCTTCAACATTATATCGAATTATTAGTTGTATATTTGCTTATTGTAATGAACCTATGTTTTAAGATTTATTTATGAAAAAGAACCTGTAAACTGATATACAGGTTTTTTATATTAGTTAGAAAGTTTGGTTCTTCTATATAATTATATATATATATATATATATATATATGTACATGGATCATTTTCAATAACTAACTAGAGCAATAAACCACTAAGCAAATTAACTATTTAATATTAGATAGATATTTTTATTTATTTAATTTTATATAAATGTATGCAATAAGACGGAGGTGAATAGGAAGCCCCACATATTTTTCATCTTCTTTAAGGCACGTAATGGTCCAATTCAAGCTGTCCTCGCTAGTTTCATGGATGCATGCATTGCATCTATTCTCTCTTTTTCTTTTCCTGTTCTATATATTTTTCTTTATTCTATGTTCAAATTTATCTTTTACTTTCGAATAATAAATTCTCAAATTACCAATATTCATCTTTGAAGCCCTAAGGCACAACCATTATATGAGCAACACATGCCATGGACTCCACTCCCACTTTTTGGAGTTTTCTTTATAGTTTTGACCATTTATGAGTACTTATCCAACTGGAAAATTTAAATAAATTAAACAAAACAATATACATCCTGCATGAAGCTGCATGAAGCTGCATGAAGCAATGCATATTCGATTCTACTCAGTATTATTTAATGTCACAACGTCTTAACAGTTAGATGTTTTTCAGTTAAAACTAAATCGACAAGAGTGGGATACTGGAATCTATGTTAATTAGAGATATTTTTAAAGGTATTATTTACTAAAATACACATGATATCTACCAAATATTCTTAAATTTTTTAAAAAATGTTAAAGGAACTTCCTTTTTCTTTTTATCGTCTATAATTCAACTCATACATTTTCGATCTTAAATTAGGATTATACATCGATCATAATAATACAAACTACAGTAGTTATCAAACCTCCATATGTTGAAAAAATATCTAGAAACATTCCCGCTTCTTTTGAGTTTTTTAATTATTATTTTGGGTTCGAAACATTCACATTGCTTCACCAAGCATTGTAATGAAGCATTCCGTTTTTTGTATGAATTCACATTTTATTAAAAAAAAATCTAGAATTTCACAAATATTCTTCCCAATCATGCATATGATGAATAGGGAACATCCATCAGATTCTATGAAGTATGAACCTATACAGGGACTCATGCAATTATTCATACAATGAAATGAAATGAAAAGTTATGTTTAGATAATTACAAAATGAATAGGAAAAAAATATCTTTGTTGATCCACGATTAAACACGTCCCTTCGAAGTCCACAATCCACACAATCCACAATCTTCCACAAATTGCATAAAACCTCTCCTTGTCTTTGTGTATCGTTTCGGAGACACACATCATTATGTCTTTCTTTCGATAGCAACAACCGAAGGATATTTTGGTCAATTTCCGTCTACAAGTCCCTCAGGTCTAAATCCAGTTGGTGTTGGAGAGTTTATATCATATTTGCTTGTCTTTATTTGACCCCAGTCAAAACTGCTGATCCCATTTTTAGGGGCTCATTAAGATTCCTTTTTCCTAAAACTACAGTTTTGATGACTATATTTCGGAGGACGTTCCAGTTGAATTTTTTTATTTCTTTTCAATTTTTGTATTTAATTAATAATGCAAGAGCTAGGTTCCATGTTTCGGTTTAGAAAGTAATTTGATCACTTCCTCTCTAATAAGAAATCTTTTTTCTTAGATAGTTTCATGAAAGTAAGGCATCATCTTACTTAAATGTAGTATCGAGCTTGTACAGTATAGAATTTTATTACTACTGCATTCACCATGCGTTTATCTTGTATTCCTGTTTCATTATGACTCGTAAAAGTACATCTCTATTCAAAGCCTATATCAAACTAAACAATAAAATATCAGTCTATCCCTTACCAAACTGTATTCAACTGATTAAACGTATTTAGTTATATCTGATAATATTATTCTTAACTTAGCTAATATATCGAAGCAACATTCCGTATGGGACATGACCATTAGTCTAAAAGTGTGATTGATGAGGTTTCTACAACTTTTTATACACTTTCATAATCAATCATTATATTTTGTAATCATTTTGGCCGGATCTAACTAGAATTTAGTTATGTTTATAATTCTAACTAAATTTAAACTATTCCTTTTAAAAATTTGTGTGAAAACTAAAAAATATTTATTTAAGCGGAGTATTATTTTCATTCTAAACCACTGGTTTGACATTTTAAGATGTAGATTTTGTTTATTCAGAATAATAAATAAATCTATAGTCTAGGGATAACTAAAACATAAAGTTTTAACCTCGACAAGTTAGTGTTTATGTAACTATGTTACAAAACGCTATACATTGAAATATTCATATGACCAATTAATTTCCAAAATTATGTACTGTTACATAAAATATCTCCATAAAGCATTTGTCACTGACCGATCTAATTGAATTGCAATCTCTAGGCAATAAATTTGTAATGTGGACATTACGGTATACATATCATTTGGTTGGCATTTTAATTATTGAAATCGAACTTTGAGTATTTTTATCCAAAAATGGAGAAATTAGAAAGACAACAAAAAAGGGAGAGAAAAAACAAAAGTCAAAGGGTCCATGATGATGAATGGAAGACAGTACTCCCATCCCTCCATTGCCCCATCTCTACTGCCTCACGTGCCTTTGCCTTCTGCATATATTAAATATTCAAATAAAATTCAATCTAACTGAATAATAAATCACATCAAAACACACAATTAAGAAACATAAGAAGTCTCTTTTTTTATTTGAAGAAGTTTTAATGAGAATTGATGACCTGTACCTGCATGGAATCAACAGCATCAGCCTCTGCGTTAAAATCATAATACGAACTTGCTGCTGTAAGCTTCATAGATAAAAACTGAATCCGCATACAAAACGGATTAGTAATTAATGACACAAATGGAAATTAATGGGATGATCTGCACTAGTATAAATTTATATTCATTATAATTATACCTCGACTTGATTTTGTAAGGACTGGACGTAATTAATGATCTCGTCCAACATCGTAGCCATTCCCATTGCCTGCATCACCAAATATATATATTTTCAGTAAAAAGCTAAAAATAAATTGCTAAAGTCTACAGTAAACAAACTAAGTGATTTAAATTTTCTCAAAATCACGGAATCACCTTATAACACCCGGGGACTATATCTTGCAAGCATCTCAGTCTCTCGTTTATTTTCCCTCGCCGAACCTGAAACATAGTATGAAAATTCAATCTTTGTACGTACTCATAATTTTCATTATACAATTTATATATAAGATTAACAATTTGAAAATCAATATATTTGATTATATAATTAATTATTACCCTCTCTGCTAAGCTGTGGCTATCAGTGGCTTGACCTCTTTTGGCCCTGACATGGACAACTTCTCTCTCTTTCTCTTCTTCTCTATTCTTAGACCTCTTCCCTCTCCTTGAAGAAATCTGTGATTTCAATTAGAAAACAGAGTTAGAATAGTGGAGAGTGAGAGTTTCGTCATATGAAATTAGGGTTTCAAGGTTATATAAATACATTTTTTGTCAAAATATTTCCATTTAGTGAAACTTGAGCAGAAGAGGTAGATAGAGTTTGATCAGAGACACTATTCTCCGACGTAGATACAGACGCCATTAATGTTTTTCTCTTTTTGGTATCGACTCTTGAAGACTCGTCGTTGTCGTGAATATTAGAAGGGAGAAAAATCCCCTGATGAAAATTATTATCTGGAGATTTTCCGGGAAACTGATCTGGGAATTGTTGATGTTGATGATGAAAGAAAAGAGAGTCGAGAGAAGAAGAGAAAGGAGGAGCAAACATTGCTTGGAATTGATGAAGAGTGTTGTTGAGTTCTGCAAGTTGAGTTATGGGATCATCCATTGTGAATGTCTGAAAATCAGAAGAAAGATTCGCCATTATTGAGTTTCTATTTTCTCAAAAATATACTTTGCTTCTTTTTTTTTTTTCTGAAATGGAGAGTGGCTGTTTTCGGTCGAGTAAACTCCGTTTATATATAGACAATATTTTTCCTATTTCTGTCTTAAAAAATTTGGAATAAAAGTGGGCGTAAATAAAATTAAAAAAAAACACAAGAGAAAATAAATAAAAAGAAGGGCCAATGAAAGTGATAGTTATGGGATTTTTGTAATGGAGTGGGCCCTCTTAATTTATCAGGAGATATATATCCAAATAGAGAAAGTGGGTAACTGTTTGGTAGTGGGACCCGTGAGCTCTATTTTTAGGCAATTTCTCAAGGGGAATAACTTAAAGATAATTTCAATTGGCACTCTTTTCTTTCTTAATTTCCCTAATCTATTGTGACGAATGAACGACTAATGAATATTGAATTTGTTACGTACTTACGTTTGTCTGATATTGTATTGTTCACAATTATTTAGTCAAATATATATAAATTCCAAAGTCTTTTTGTTTAGCTACGTTAGTTTCTTCTCTTGCACGGCTGATCAAACACGTTTTTCTTCTGGATTTTTGCTTTGGAGTTAGGTTCCTATCTTGTTATTTTGACTTTGCGCATTACTAGTTCGTGTAGCTAGTAAACTGATATACCAGAAATGTCGATTATGTGAGGGAAGCAGTGATTGTTTTGAATGCATATGTTTGCCAAAACTTCTTAATTAAATTTACGTACCGCGCGCGAGTTAACCGAATGAGCTAACCTTTTCAAAAACTTTTATTAAAATAAAATCAGAGCTAATTGTGAACAAAGCCAACCGAATCCTATATTTGATAATACCTTCAGTGAAATTTAATCCTAATTTGTTACAAGAAAAAAAAATCCTAATCTATTCCTAAAATGGCTCGACTAAAGAAAATCAAAGGCAAAGTAGAAGTCGGCATTGATTTAAACACATGGCTAATAAGCAAAAACTAACTTCAACAAAGAAAACCAAGTATCATATTGAAGAAAACAAAAACCGAAGGCAAGTTTTATATAATATCACAAAACTCTACATAACATACTAGCTAGTGATCGACTTGTGGAGAGGATCATTTAACCGATTCGATTTTCGTCGGCTTGGTAATTTACATATGACAGCCGAACTTACCTAAACTATAAGATCATTAGAATTAGATGTAACCATTTAAATGTCATTTAAGGGTACATCACACACCCAATAGAAACCAATAAAACGAAACCACATACACGTTAGACTTAGTTTTAGTTTTCAAAGAACAAATTTATTTAAATTGGTAAAAAATAATAGGTTGTTAGACTTTTTTTGTTTTGTTGTTTAAGCTGTTAGACTTGTGTTCTTATAGCCATTAACTGAATTTATTTCAAAACAATATAAAAGTCATACCGCGCACCAGTAACAATATTGGTGCCCAACTGTTCCTCTTTGGTAAGATGGAAACTTGAAAGTTGAAATTATGGTACTTGAAGAAAGCTGTTACTTAGCTATACTGCCTAAAACAGCACCGCATATATGACTCAGCTATTCAAACTATATTATTATTTTTTGAAGAAAAACGTTAATTAAACAAAAATAAACCTCAAAAACATAAATTTTTTTCTTCTTCAACATGTTGTGCATCCTTTAAGGTCGCGTGTTCGATCCACGCTCACCGCACCAATGATAGAGTAATGATCGAGCTAAGAAGAGAATTGAGAAGAGAAGAAGTTCTTTATTGAAGATATACTGCGATTACAAACAAGTAAGATCACAATCTCATGACGATTGGATCCGAGATCTCATAACGATCTTACCGAGCTCATCTCGCTCTGGTTCTACAAGTTCATAAATCGCATAAGAAGAAAGTGAACAAGAAAGAATCTATTTATACTTCATCTCTTTCTATAACTTGGTCAATAAGAGTCTTTTACTTTCTGTTGACTAACTCCAGCTCGTTTTGACTCAGTGTATTTCTTTCCACCTTTGGCTCTGTTTCCGCATTATTCTTCTTCTTTCTATAGTAAGTCTGATATATCATCTTATCAATAACGATGAATCGAAGCTCAGAGATGAGTAACAATGGCGGAAACAAAGATTCTCTAATTAGTCGTTAGAGAGCTCTGATACCATATTGAGGAAATGCAAATTGTCAAAGAATGTACAAGTGTTGATATATATAATCACACGGTTTAGCTAAAGGAAACAAACCGGTGATTTAATCTAACATATGTACATTGAACCGGACATAACCTGGTATATATCTAATAACCTTCAAGATCCATTTATATGATTTATATCAAAATGTGTTCCAAACACTCGTAATAACTCAAATATAACGATATGATCCATGAACATAAAATATAAAAAGTCCCTCTCTTCGTCTCCATGAACATATAATATAATGGATGCATTTACATGTTTAAAATTCATCTACCTTCCGCGAAGGAAGACATGGTAATGGAGGTCCTCGAGTACTCCTCAACGACGTTATTCTGTCCAGACGCTCCTCCGGTACTTCTTCTACTTTTAAAACTGTTTGGTTCGCTACCGGTTATTCCAAAACTTTTTGAACCACCTCCTGTACCGGTCCCGGTACTTGTATAGCCGCCTCCTCTACGACCTTGGAGTCCAGGACGACCCGGTCTAGGCAAATCGAACGAATCGCTGGATAACATCTGATGAACCGTGTTCATGTCCGGTCTATTTGATGTGATTTGCTGGCAACAGAGCAACCCTATAATGAAACATGTGGCTGCTTCGTCGCGGTTGTATACTCCTGCTAGAGATTGATCCACCAATGCCAGAATTTTGCCTTCTTGGTACATCTTCCACGCCTGTAACGAATATAGATTATGGTTATTGAGTCAGACCGATTTTGGTTCCAATGGAAAATGAGCACATGTTAGATTTGTTGACATCTAAGCAGAACAATTATGGAAACATGCAGGGGACTGAATTTGCATGGTTTGGTACAAAAGCATGATCCGGGTTGGTTTTGGTGAGTAGTAATAACCGATTAATTAAGTAAATCACGGTTCTGATACCAACCATAATCGATTGGTTAATTAATTGGTATAGATCATTGTGTTAGAAAGAACAGGTTAATAGTATGGTTCAAACTTACATAGCTCAAGAGATCGGCCATTTCCGGTCCAAGTCGAGGATTTTGGTTCTTTCTTCCGCTAACTATCTCCAAAACCAAGACTCCAAAGCTGAAAACATCCGATTTGACAGATAAAAGCCCATGCAAGGCATACTCAGGAGCCATGTAGCCACTGCATGAACACTCACATATATTAGACTAATACATATACAACATTCACATTTTTTTCCCCCGAGATATTAGAGATTGTAATGGATTAATTGGTGAACTCACTAAGTCCCAGAGATTCTAAATGTATTTGTATGAGTGCCATCGCCTGGGAACAACCGGGCCAAACCAAAATCGGAGATTTTCGGGTTTAAGTCATTATCTAGAAGAATGTTGCTGGCTTTGATGTCTCTGTGGAGTATTCGAATCGGAGCTTCTTCGTGTAGATATAACAGTCCTCTTGCCACGCCTATAATTATTCGCCATCGACTGTACCAGTCAAGTAAACCGGGATTTATCTTATCTGGAAATTACAGAGAAATCAATGGTTCAACCATACCGGTCTGAATTGAATGAATTAGACAGAAGAGAACCGATTCGGTCCAGTTCCGTGTGGTTTGTTCCGAGAATCTATTATATTAAAACAGAACCACATTTAGTACTTGCTTCCAAACACCCCTAATTTTTTTTAAATGTTTAAAAATAATTTTAATAATTATTTATATTTAATTTCGAAAATTAGTTATTTATTTAAATATTTTTAGAGTTCCTTAAATATAGGTAATTTAGATTTGATTTGATTTGATTAAAAATAATAAATCAGATATTAATTTAGATTTGATTTAAAGATTTTAATTTAAATAATTTTTATATACTATTAAACATTTTTTATCAAAAATATCTAGAATTTTTGAAAAAAAAAATAATTCAAAAATGAAAAATAATAGTCATATTTAAAATATAAAATATTTATAATGATGTAAATGATATGATATTTATGTTGCTTATATAATATATTTACGATTATGATTTATTTACAAATTAATAATAAAAATAATAGGTAAAATTCAAATGTATAATTTAAATATTAAAATAATATTTTTTAAAATTCATAGAACTAAAAATATATATAAAAATCGGGTTAAAAATATTTTGGTAACTAAAATCACTAATTTTGAATTATACATGTATATCAAAAATATATTTTTCATACAAAATAAAAACATAATATGTAGTTGATTAAATTTTTCATACACTCCTTGATTAAATTTTAGAAAACTATAATGCTAAATAATACTGTTAATACATCTGAAACTTTTAACAAATATTTATATTATACAGTAATATGAACGGAAAAGTTAGAATTATGTTTTGATAATAGTTCATTTTGAATTAATATTAGCGGACGGGTTAAAATTATATTTTTATAATCATAATTAATTTTAATACTATAAAAATATATCTAAACACAAAAATCAATATTTTCACTTATTAAAAAATATATTTATAAAAATAATTATATCTAAACTCAAAAACACAAATTATATTACAAAATTCGTTAAACAATAAAAAAATATTCCCTCTGCGGATGCACGGAGTTAGAATCTAGTTAAAATTAAAACTTAGGAGGTCACTCTTGTCCTCAACAAGAGTGAAACTAAGAAATGTTGCACTAACCGAAGAGAAAATAATCGAGACTCCGGTTAGGGAGATACTCGTAAACCAGCATCTTCTCCGGACCATGAAAGCAACAACCCAGCAACGAAACCAAGTTCTTATGTTGAATCCTAAGCAAGAGCTTAACCTCGTTCGTGAATTCTCTCGACCCTTGTCTAGAATTCACCGCTAGTTTTTTCACAGCTACTTCTTCACCACTCGGCATCAGTCCCTATATATTGTCGATTCATTGGAATAAACGTTGCTTTTTCCAACCAAAAAAAGAAAGAACTTACTAGTGTTTACCTTGTAGACAGGGCCAAATCCGCCGTGTCCGAGCCGATTCTTCTCGGAGAATAAGTCAGTCGCGGTTTCAAGCTCTTGGAGATCGAAGAAGATGCCACGTTCTCCACCATTTCCGCCGTCTTCGGCTGATACTTCTCCCCCAGAATTGTTTTGACCACCGCACATCTTCAGCAACGCCATGAAGCCACCGTAAAGACGGCGAACCATCTCTGGTTAGCTGGTTTTTATTTTTAATGTTACTCTCAGTATTGCGAGAAAGGTTGTGTGGTCTTTGGAATAGATATTATTGAAATATCCAGTTTGTTTTTATGAGTTGTTTTGGTTGTACCGGAGTGGCTTATACTATATCTTCGTATTAATGTGCCTGCGTAAACAAGTCTTTGAGCCGGTCAACATAGTTTACTCAGCATGAAGACATAACTACTTAGACGCGTTACATTAAAGTTCCGTTTTCATATTTTTCCTTTTTTGGCCTTTGTTCAAACGTTTTTGCTTTTAACTAAAATATTATAGACAGCTTAAGAGACAAAACATAAGAACATAGTCCATAGACAAAGTCAAGGAGTCAATTCTAACAAGTAGTCATATAAATCCCAAAGTCAAGTCAATGCAAGGTTGAAGGGACCTATTCGATTGGATGATAGAGTCGCAGAAAAGAAAAATGAAAAACATCTTTGTCGTAAGAATTTTCTTCTTGGACCATCTCGACATGGGTAAGACTGTAAGGTAAATAAAATGGAAAATTTCACAGTTCACACACACAAGGGAAAGCGAAGAAAAAGTAAAAAAGAAAAACTGAGATCGTTTAAAAAGCCCGGCCCAGGCCCAATCCAATCCAGTCACATTAGATAGCTAAAATCGGGTTACTTGTAAACCGCTTTGGCTGCTAACGCCACAGTCGCCGGGAAAAACCGCAGAATTGTTCGTCGCGGCGGCTTCGCCATGAGGTTCCGGTATGCGATGGTCTGTTCGTCGAATCAGAACCGGAGCATGGAGGCTCACGCTCTACTAAAGAGGCAAGGTCTCGACGTTGCTTCGTACGGGACTGGGTCTCATGTAAAACTACCTGGACCGTCTGTCAGAGAGCCTAACGTCTACGACTTTGGAACTCCTTACAAGCAAATGTTCGATGAACTCAGGCGCAAGGATCCCGAACTGTATCCTCTTCTGTGTTTTCCCCTCGCGTTTCTGTGATTGCTCTTTGTTCTGTTGCTTACTGATCATGATTTGTTCTTAGCTTTGAAGACCTAATTTCTGTTTAGTCGCTGCTTCAGTGTCAATTCCCTTCTAATGCTGTGATATTCGTTGTTTTTCCTACGTTTTCTTGACTGGAACAGCTATATTGCTCTCCAGATTCCGTAATTTCAGTGGTTTAATCCTCTTTTCAACCTGATTTTCTCAAGACATTGATTCCGGAGAAACAAATGTTTAGTCCAGCCTTTGATGCCTTGTTTTTTTGTGCTTAGAACATTGTCCATTGTGTTGTGAGGAGTCTTGTAAACTTGAAGTTTGATACCTTAACTGTTTCTTCAGTTACAAGCGGAATGGTATCTTACAGATGCTTAAGAGGAATTTATCTGTGAAACTTGCTCCCCAGAGGTGGCAAGATAATGCTGGTGATGGTGTGTTTGATGTTGTAATGACATTTGAAGAAAAGGTTTTCGATTCAGTTCTTGAAGGTAATCTAAATCCTCCCCATTTTACTATTAAATACTTTGTTTCAAAGTTGCTTGATGTTCCATTTGAAGAAGATCGAAATGTTGAGACTTTTAACTTTTCTATGCGCGCTGTTTCCCAACAATCTTTTCATTTGGTAAATTATCTCTAACTAGTTATGTTAGATGTATAAATATGAATTGTTGAAGTCGTAAACCATCCACAAGTCGTGTGAAACTCAGTTATTTAACGGATAAATTCCATTTCTCGTAACTCAATTTGCTTTTATCTTGCTGTATTCATTAGCTGAAAATCGATTGCAGTCATGGTTTGAGGGAGTTTTCTTGCCGTGTGAAAGTAATTTGCACGTTGTTGTGTGTCATACTATCTTCATCTCATCGACTTGGATACTATTACCAACCTGCAGATCTTAACAACAGAGAACAGCCACTTATGAAAACCATACTTGTGATGAACTTGGAAGTTAAAGATAACCACGAAGAAGCAGCTATTGGTGGCCGACTTGCCTTGGAACTCTGTCAAGAGGTCAATAATCCTATCAAGAAAATCTATTCTTTCTATTGTTCACCTTTTTTACTGTCATCACTCATGTAGTAGCAGCTTTTGATACAACTATATACTGGGGTAATACTAACATCGACGATTGTTTTGGTTTTAGATTGAAGGGAATGAAGCATGGGAAGATACAATCGATGACATTGTCGCAGGTTTTGAAAAACAACATAGGCGGAAACTTGTCTATAGCATCTCATTTTACTGAAGATACCATCATCAGTTGCAGTAAGCAGTCAACGCGAGCTTTCTTTCGATATGCTTAAGGTTTTATGGTCGAGAGTGGGGAAGAAATTGTTTGTTAGAAACTGAGAATTTGTTTTCCAAAACACATGCCACTGCTTGTTTCTCCTTGCTTGAAAGTTGAAACAGAGCCCGACTCCTGAGCTGATTCTACAAACCAAAACTGTTTCTGTTTCTGTTTATTTAAATTTTAAAATGGAAAAAGTAATATAATAGATAGGTGACACTACTTGTCTTAACCCAAGCATTACTTCATCTTTAATGTCGCAATCTAAGTTAACGTGTTTGTGTAAAACGCAACTCGTGTACCAATTGAATTAACCCAACCCCTAGAATCATGTACAAGTCAATTTCAATGTTTCCAGCAAAATCCCATGCCCGTGAGATTAGATATTTATAGAAACCCAATGGCGAAAAGTCATTTTAAAATTCAATGACGATCATACTCTTCACTATATAACTTTTCGTTCGTCCCACAGTTCTTAATGTTTAGCTTTAAACCCATCAGGACACCACAGACCCAAGAAATAATGAAGAGCCATGAAACACAAGAAGACCCTCTTCAACAAGAAAGTCGTCATCTTCACCAAATCTTGATATCGAAGATATTCAAATCACATAAATTCTTTCAAAACCTTGTGTTGTGTTCGTTTCTTATCGGTTTCGGATTCGGACTCGGCTTCATACTCAACTTCCACATAAGAAAAGTCTCATTCAGTCCCCAACTCTTTCGTCTATCTTCTCTTGCCTCCTCCTCTTCTCTCTCTCCACCGCTTCAGCCGCCGCCAACACAGCCAGAAAAATGCGTTTTTAGAAATGAAACTGTTACGACTGATGTCAATGATGAAGGGCAAAAGAGTCATTCTCTGATGGAGCCGCAGAACGTGATGCATAACATGACGGAGGAGGAACTCTTGTCGCGAGCATCGATGAATCAAGAAAAGCCGTTGAAGACGACAAAGAAAGTGGCGTTTATGTTCTTGACGAGAGGGAAGCTTCCTTTGGCTAAACTGTGGGAGAGATTTTTCCAAGGCCATCAAGATCTTTTCTCCATTTACATTCATGCGAGTGACCCACTTTACGTTGACGATGATATTCCCCAAACGTCGCCGTTTTATCGCCGGAGGATTCCAAGCAAGGTCAGTCAATTTCGTCGTCATTCCCTCACGCTTTTTTATAATTAAATTTATTTGTTTTTTCGTAATTGAGATAGTCAAATTAATCAGACATAATAAGGTCGACTATAAATATGAATAGTGGTGCATACAAGTATAACGTGAAGGGAGTGACAAAATTAACAAACAGTGGTTAGCATAATTATCCCCTTTTTTTTTCAATTCGCCTTAGCGTCTGTTAATTACGAATTATGGTTGCAAAACAAAGGACAAGTGTACTTCCATAAAAAAAATCAAAGGACAAGTATAGTTCCAAAAAAAAAAGAGCAAAGGACATATAGAGTAATATGTGGTGGCTGTAATGTTCAAGACATGTTAATTAAGATTAACTTATAAATACGTAGATCCGGTATCCTTTTTTATTCCCTCTCTGATCCGTATACTTTTTGTTAGATTGATTAACATAAAAATACATATTATTTAGCATAAAATACGTATACTTTTTTCGTAAGATTAAAATTATATTACAACAACAGCAACATATAATGATGCGTGTCCAAGAAGTTAGAAAAATCGAGAAGACAAGTCATACAACAAATTAAAGGGATGTTTCATGGACAAGAATCATACTGTATTTGTCGGTAGAAAAGAATTTCGTTAAAAAAATACTTATACATATATCACGAGATGCGACTAATAGTGACATTATTGTTTCTCTTTACAACCAGTTATATAAAGTGATTATATCTAATTCAGCCACTCAACAATTAGTTCCTTTCATTCATATACATATGTCTACGTTTACTTCTTTTAAGTTTCTTTATCAATAAATATCATCATATACTATATAAATAATAAATCGTTGAGTAGTCTATTATACATACCGACATACGTATTTTTAAATCCATCAACTAAATAAATTGCTAGTTATAGTGATAATAATCATCACGATTCATTAGTCTAATCTTCTTCTTAAAAATGTTTTGTATAGGGAGTGGAATGGGGAATGGTGAGCATGGTGGAGGCTGAGCGGCGGCTACTGGCCAACGCTCTGCTCAACGCCGAGAACCACCGCTTCGTCCTCCTCTCGGAATCCGACATTCCTCTCTTCAACTTCTCCACCATTTACTCTTACCTCATAAACTCTCAACACTCTCACGTCGACATTTACGACATTCCCGGACCAGCAGGTCGCGGCCGCTACAACCGCCGTATGTCTCCGGTCATCAGCCGCCGCAACTGGCGAAAAGGCTCACAGTGGTTCGAAATCGACCGTGAGGTAGCTTTGGCCGTCGTCTCCGATACCACTTACTTCCCTTTGTTCCAGAAACATTGCCGTTTTTGTTACGCCGATGAGCATTACTTGCCGACCTTTGTCCACGTCATGTTTCCGGAGAAGAACGCGAACCGGTCGCTGACGTGGACGGATTGGTCACGGAGAGGGCCCCATCCGAAGAAGTATACACGACGGTTGGTGACGGCGCAGTTTTTCAGGAATCTGAGGAATAGAAAAGAAGGGTGTGTGTATAATGGTGAGAAGATTAACAAATGTTACTTGTTCGCTAGGAAATTCGATGATAGTTCTTTGGATAGGTTGATTCATTTTGCTCATCTTTAGCCCTATACGTTACGATTCGTGTTTTGGTAAGGTCCATTTGTGTATTCGAAATTGTAAGGCCCATCTGTAATTACAAAACTCGTTCACATCTCCTCCGTTTTTTTCTTAACATAAATCTTGTTTATCTTCTTATTGCTTTTCATGATTTGTTTGATAATAACTAGAAATAACTATCATAATTCGTAACTTGTTACTTGAATGGGCTAGAAGCCATATAATGCAGGTTAGAAAGTGGTCATGTGGCAACTGAATTAGAAGATATGAAAAAGAGTAATAGCTTTCTTACTTTAGTTAAAATAAGACAGGATTGTAAGAAGAGTCCATGTTTTGTTATTTACAAGAAAATAAATAATAGAAAGGAATCTTTATCTCCAGCTCAAACTATTACTGTAAAGCTTGCATATGGATGGCATGATTCTCTCTCTCTCCTTCTGAATGATGTATATTATGGAAGGCTAAATGCAAAAAAAAAAAAAAAAAAAACAGATTCTAAACTTATATTCTGGATTGAGTAAAGCAAATTAAAAATTTTTAAAAATCTAGAACTTAATTATATTCTGGATTAAGTAAGGCAGATTAAAATCTGAATCGACTCTAAATTACGTAATATATATTATGGATTGCGTAAGGCATATTACAAATTTTAAAGAATGTAAAATGTTAACTGCATAAAGCAGAAGATAAACTCTAAATTGCATAATATATATTCTGGATTGCATAAGACAGATTATGAATTCTAAAAAGTATAAGAAATTATATTTTAGAAAATAACGGTTTTAAAAGTTAGTTTAAAAAAAGTCAAACTGGTTTGAGACTAACATTTAATCTGATCGATAAAAAATGCAAAGCAAACACTATACAGAAATGCGTGAAACAAGCTAAAGTTTATCTGAGTTTAGTTTTCAACCATGTGGAATAGTAGAATACTACTCATCATCTTGTCACACCAAAGGTCTTAACAAACACGATCAACATACTCAAAAGTATGTTCGCGAACAACATAAAATGTGTTCTCTAATAAAATCCATGGATCCCAACGAAATCTGGAAATGTTGTTCTCGTAATTCTCTCATTCCTTTCTAGTGTGTGTTCTTTTGAAGTTACATACACCACATTATACTATATTTACTAAATTTAACCTGTTTCGACAAAATTTCAAAACCTATAAAAGTTTCCTACTTATATTATTTATTTATATACCCACCAAAGAAATATCAACTCTCGAGCTTAAAAGAAAACTACATCTAGGTCGAGCGAGTTAAAACTTAATTATAAATAGTGCTGTTTCTAACTTATCTTTTTTTACTGACATTCGACGGATTATTCAGAAAACAAACTTTCTTGTCTCTAACCAAATTCCAAACAAATATATACTGTCAAATTACTTCTTTTTATCTTATTCTCCAAAATATGTTTCATTTCTAAATAATTTTCTTTGTAGTTACCACAATTTATGATTATTTACGGTTGATTTATTATTGTTAAACTAAATGACTCAATGGTCAATCACGAATTCACGTGAATAATAAATGATTGATAGCTGATAATTTGGAGATGGCTTGAGCTCGTATAATATAAGCCACTATTAAGAAAAATGGTATAATCGTGGTCATGAAAAAAAAAAATGGGTCTTATGATTCATCAGCAAATAATTGTTAACAATTATACGCACGCGGCCGTTTTGTGTTTGTTTAGTTTTGTTTTCTTGTAATTAATAATGTTCAAAGATTTAGAGTGAAACTCAAACTAATTAATAATTGAAATCATAATATGTATATGACTATCATGTTTTAGATTCTACAGATACAAACGTACAAAACTGTCACTTATACTATTATGCATATATTGGTATATATACCTAGAGATGTATAGAAATGGAATTTGGCTTAGTCAATAGTAACACAATATTGCGAAAGGGAAGGCAGCTTCCAAGAAAAAAAGCAGTCACATATGCTTCGTCAAGACTCAAGACTCTATCAGGATTTCTTGACGCCCATTTCTTATTTTTTAATTTCAGTTCTATTTCATTACAAATTATAAACAGAATACTCAATTCAAACCATACTTATTTAACATCGTGATAAAGACTTTGAAACAATACCATACAATAATTTATCATCGGGGCAATCCATTAATTACATGACGCTCCAAGAATATTTAGAAGTTAAAAATAAAAAAACAGTGAATTTAATTAAAAACAAGTGATTTTTGATAGAGACTAAACAGAGCCGATTGAAACTCAAAAGATCGACAAGTTTTGAGAAGAGGATTGAGATTTGAAACCCACCCGACAAGAAATTACCCGAGAAAGGCAAATCAATTTAACGAACCTTCTTCGAAATTATTCACTGGACCCTTTATATATAGTTTAATATTAGTGAAACCATAAGAGATTGGATAAGATTAATTTTCTTAACGAATGACATTTATGTTGAAAAACGACTGTTATATATTTTCTGGTTTAATATTCGGGACAAGTAAATAAGAATATTTTTGGAAAACGATGAAAAAACCCAAAAGGTTAGATTTGCTTACAAGATAGTTCGGCGAAATTGATTTCATATACCGTAAAAGGTTTGTTACATATATAGCCCTATTTGTCGGACGAGAGTCACGAGACCAACCAAAACGTTGCCTTTTTCCATCAAATTAAGAAAAGGAAATCAAACCCTGTCTTTTTCTTTTATCATTTTTCTAAATTAGCTTTGGAGGATTGGCAATTTAATGGATAAACTGATTTATCATATTAAGAAAAAGAAGAGAAAAAAAAAGAGTATGTTATTGTTAAATTCTTTGACAATCGAGAAGATAACAAAAATTCTTTGGAGAACGGACCGGATCTATCGTACACTCGTAGTGCTCTGCTCTCCACAGAACGTAATCAGGTGGATTATGGATCGTGCCTAACATCAGCCGTTGGATCTAGAACACAACAGATGGAAAGAGTACGTTCGTCCACTTGTCGACAAATGACCCTTTCTCTTTTGGGGTTGACGTCAAAAGTCTCCTTATTTATGACGCCATAAATAGAAAATTCGCGTGGACTTCTTTGAGATGCTGCCAGGTTGTTTCCTTTGTCGTTCTACGAACTTTCTTTCTTTTTTAGTTTCTCGTTTTTCTATAAAATTATTACAAGACTTTGAGACTAAACCATATAAATATATTCATTGCCCCTTTATACATAACAAACATTTCTATTAACAGATTAGATCAAACCTAGATCTCTCTCTCTCTCTCTCTCTCTCTCTCTACTCTCTTTCTCTCAACTCACCAGACCAATTCCATGGCGGGGAAGAGGTTAATTCAAGATATAGAATTCGATCAGGAAAACAAAACCGAGAAACGGACGAAATCTCTACCATCCTTAACCTCGTAAATCTTCTCAGAATTTCTTGATTTTTTCTTTGTTATAACAAATTTTATGAATTAAATGAATCATAATTACCTTAATTTTTTGGAAGTAACATGTTCATGTTCAATCTTCTTATATGCCACACATATTTATATGCTTGTATATTATGCACATGCTCTCTTGCTCTCACTTATCATATTGAAATCAATATCTTATTTAGATCTTATACTATTGTTTTTTTTTTGTTCTCTGACTCTAGTTTTCTAATAAACTATAGTTTATGTTTGATTTCAGTGTGGTTCGAGCATTGATTACAGAGGACAACATGCAAAGCTTTTCTTCAGCCCTAGAGCCCCTTCTTAGAAAAGTTGTAAGTACTCTTTAGTTCCAACATTGTATGTTAAATAGCGCTAGATTCATATGCATATATATTTGTACTTTAAAACTGATAACTAACTTACAGATAAAGAAAATTGAAGATATGATCAAATTAACAAATTGAGAACTAGAGATACATATTTACCACGTTTAATCAAATACCCATACAAATATATACATAAGTTTAGTACTGACGACATCTAATATATATGCGAGCTGGAATTTGATAAAATAAGAAAGATTCAATCCTCCTTCTCATTTTATGTACAACACATGTACACACCACAAGCACACACACACATATATATATATATATCATGCATATATATAGTTGCATAAATATTATATACTTACATAACATTATATTACTATATCATAACTTCATGAAGATATAAAGTAATAAATACTTACAAAGGTACAGATCTTTTTAGTATTAATAAGAAGACCTCTCTAACCTAACACTACAATCAACTTTATATATAGAACGAGAAGACAAAAGAACGGTCCACACACATACACATATATGCACATATATGCTAGTATCATTGACGAGATCTACATACAGGCCAGCATATTTAATACTACCTTCATTTTACAAATAATATATTTTTATAATGATGATTTTGTTTCATGCATGAAGATTGTTGTTTTGAATTTGTAAAACAAAATCTGATGTTCAAACAAAAAAATACAAAATCTTGTATATCTTTTTTCAATTTTCATGTATTCGTACATTAGATTGATTAACATATACAGTACTTACTCGAAAAAGGTAAATAATACAACAAATATAATTATAAGTATTCTAGTAAAACTTTTAATTCGTGTGATCAATCATCAAACGGAATTTTTGTTTATTATTGTTTTGCTTTCCATGTAATCCTGATTCAATATAAAAAAATATAATGTGGATGTTACAAAAAATGATAAAGGGTATTTTATAACTCAACTCTTTTTGGTGATGGGAACAGGTAAGACAAGAAGTGGAACATGGAATAAGTAAAAGACTACGATCATTTTCTCGGTCATCGTCGTTTCGAGTTGAAGCTCCGGAGACTCCGACATTAAAGCTAATGTTCCGTAAGAACTTAATGACACCAATATTCACCGGGAGTAAAATAAGTGACGTGGACAACAATCCACTTCAGATCATCCTTGTTGATGAATCAAACAATGATCATTCGATCGCCCCAGCGAATCTCGACCGTCCGATCAGACTAGACATCGTTGCTCTTCACGGAGATTTTCCTTTGGGTGATAAATGGACCAGTGATGAGTTTGAGCGTAATATCGTCAAAGAAAGGGAAGGGAAACGGCCGTTACTTGCCGGGGAAGTAACTGTGACGGTGAGAAACGGCGTCGGAACGATCGGAGATATTGAGTTCACTGATAATTCGAGTTGGATCCGTAGCCGCAAGTTTAGAATTGGCGTGAAACTTTCGAAAGGGAGTAGCGTTCAAGGCGTTGCGATTTGTGAAGCCATGACCGAAGCGATTGTTGTTAGAGATCATCGTGGAGAATGTAAGTTCATTTTCTTTACTTACTGATTATTTACCCTAATTAGTAATTAATGAATATATAAAAAAATATATCTATAGTCTATACATATGAGTTTTGTGCTTGGAATTATAGAAATGATTAAACACTCCACTAGAGATGATAGTAACATATCACTAGAAGCCATATTTCAATTTATCTTTGACCTGAGTCACCTGACCATATATCACATCTTAATGGATTACACTATCAATCATGTACTCTTAATATCTACAGAGACTTTTTTTTCTTTTCTTTTTCACATCACTTAATATATACAGAGATTTTCTGCAACATATGTGCATTTCAATACATTAAAAAAAATTGGGTCAAAAGTTATTGTAATTGCTCCACTAAAAATTGTTTTTTCTAAAACTATTATTTATCAACTAAAAATTTGATATGTATATATATTTGGTTATATATTTTTAAGAGAATCTTAATTTTTAAAATTTTATTTACTATACAAATAGAAGAAAAAAATCGGTTACATCAAAATTGTTGTATTTGGTCATATACTTTTGAAGTCCTATAGTTTTCTAATCATGATATATATATATATATATTATATGCTTTCTCTACATATATTCTTGTTATTTTTGTCTGTATATACACAATTTTTTTTATTCCATTTTGCTATTATGTTAAGAAAAAAGTATTTTCGATGTGGACCATATATATAAGCAAACGACTGTCCACTTTATATAAATGGCTCAAGTCTTTGGTCAATACTCATATTGTCCGAATCTTATAAGAGATAACACGCAAATACTAATTTAATGGGTTCAACAAACACATGCATAAACAGATATCCATATAAAGTACATACATAGGGACAACAAAATACAATTTTAAACAATTTTTATTAATAATTTTGTTTTGTACAACTTGGGGTTGGTGAAGTGTACAAGAAACATCACCCACCAATGTTAGAAGACGAAGTGTGGCGGCTAGAGAAGATAGGCAAAGATGGGGCCTTTCACAAGAAGCTCTCTTCTAAAAACATCAACACTGTCCAAGACTTTTTGAAGTTATCCGTCGTTGACCTCGACGAACTCCGTCAGGTAAAACTGTTATTTATTAATATAATTTTTCTAAGTAGATTCAAAAATAGTGTTTTTGGTGAGTAATTTGATTATTTGACTAATAAGATTTACTTATTTACAGATTATGGGACAAGGAATGTCTGATAAAATGTGGGATGTCACATTGAAACATGCTCGAGAGTGTACTTTGGGAAATAAGCTATACATTCACAGAGGACCTGATTTTTTACTGACCTTGAATCCGATATGCGAAGTTATGGAAGCATTGATCAATGGTCAGTTGTTTTCCAGTCGAGAAGCGCTGAATCAGGTATATACTAGCTTAATTAGTTACATTATTTACTTTGAGTTTTAGTCATATATTAAAGAAATTGTGTTTTTATTTCGTTTATGGTAAAATTGGGTTGCAGATCAATATTAAGAGGTTAGTTCGACAAGCTTACTCAAAGTGGAATATGTTAACAGTGGTCGAAAGAAAAATGAACGAGATTCCTCTTTTGACACAAGGTAAATTAAAATACAATTGTTGTTCCCATTATTTTTGTCCAACTGTTAAATATAATTAATAACTAAATATAAATGACGACATAATTCTGATCATACAGGTGATACTTTGGACCAACGATATGCTGCAAACCACTATCAGAACACCGAAAACAACAGATCGTATCAACAAAACGGATATGCTCCAGAGAGATTGACGAACAATTTGGAGATAATAAGCGAAGGGTTTATTACAAATCCGATGGAATTCGGTATATGTTTCAATGTTACTGGATCTTCGTCCCAAGATCATATAAACCCTTTCGAAAATCCTCATCTACGTTAGAATTGGAGTACGAAGCCTTTTCTGCCTTCACCATGATTATTAGACTCTTTCCAAAATAAGGATTTAGTTTACTTCTCGGTAAAACATGGGATATCTATATATGTGAATCATTATTGTACAGAGATATATGTGTGAAATTTAGAAAAAGAGTAGTAATATTTTTCGTTGAATGGTATACTAGTTGTTTAAGTTTTCACGTTAAAACGTGACCTGTTGCTTTTTTTTACCATTCTCGTTATTAATCAATTTCAACACTTGTGTTTTTAAAAAATTGACTCCATTACAAATTAAATATGATGTACTCGATAATTTGTTATTCCGCAATTCATTTCATTGAACTATTTATTTGACATGCAAGTTATATATATCACAAATCGTTCTGCCTATAGATTTGATTAATAAAACATGGGAACTGTGTACTAGACTACTAGTTAGTTAACTTGGTGATTCACTTAAAAAAGAAAACCCCTCGAAAGAAAAATATTGAGTGGAGCTGAGTAGCCTTTGGGTCTCCATTAGCCTAGTCTCCATCTCTAAGCTGGATTGCTTCTTTAGTTGATCATAGAAAAAGATCTTTCTTCAAAGTTTTCACTTTTGGCAAAGTTAAGATCTTTTCAAGGGAACATTTGAGCTATGGAAATAGTTGTAAATCTTAATGTAGCCCGCTATGTTGGGATTTCTCTCCAGAGATCACAGTGCCTCATAGATCAGAACAAATTTGAGGAGTAAAACTGAAAAAACCTGATAGAGTAAAACGAGTTTTGTAAATTGATCCACCAACGGTATTTGCAGCAAAGCAAGAAGAAACAGTAAAGGAGGAGCATGACACTGCATAAAAGATCCTTACAATTGTTTCTCTTTATAGCCCAAGAACACTCGTTTAGTATTTTTCTTCAGACATCAATGGCACAATGAAATCAAAGCATAAAGAAGAAAAAATCAATTATAAACGAGATCCATCTTCCAAACAAGGCATAACGAACCCAAAAGCACTTGATTTATCTTAAGCTGCCGTGGTTGGTCCCAGATTCCTGACGAAGCTCCTTGACGACAGCAGCTAGAGCTTCAGGGTTAAGACCAAGATCGCAAAGAGCTATGAGAACGGACAAGGTATGTCGATCCAGCCCTGTCTCCAAGATGTTCGACATTCGAAACACGAGCTCTAGCGACTCCCTCGCTGTCTCAGCTGCCTCTTGATCCATTTTCTCTGACCAAAATATTAATCCAGAAGAAGAATCAATTTCTGGTTCCTATAATTTCGGAAACGATTCAATTTCTAATAGCTAAAAACATCATGTATGTGGCAGAGAGTGGAAACCCTAAGGAGGAAATCGGAGAGTGTCGACTTCCGAATGCTTAAGAGATAAATTAGATCATTATAAGGAAACAAAACGAAAAGAGACGCACGAACCAATTTTACGACGGAGACAACCAACGGCGTCGAATCTGAAATCTCAAGAGCTTGAGAGTTGTTGAGAGAAACGAGTCGAAGAAGACGAAGTGAAAGCGAAGGTTGGCCAGAAAATAGATTTCTTTGGGTCTCTTTTTTTGAAAAAGCTTTTTATCTTCTAACGACCGCGTTTCATTATTAGAAAAAAATTGGGCAAGAAATTTGTTGCTATTGGGCCGGTTCATATAAAATGGGTCTGTTCCGTGGGCTATATTTAACCGGCGTCTAAATGGATTAATCAGGATTTAGGACCGATTAATATGGTCAATTTAATTTTAGGGACACTCACTGGAAATATTAGATGCAAAATTTGTAGTGTTATCACTGAAATTGGATGTTAACGAGCTTACGTTAACGGATTTATCAGCCATAGTTTCCCCAAAACATAGTTAAATCCGAGATTTATGGCATAGAAGCAAGATCTCACTCGTGGGATTACCTGAAACATGGAAAGTTCATTCCTTGACAACAACCACTTGCACACAAAAACATTAACCAAAGCTCAAAAGCAGGAAACTCGAACACGATACCCATCATGATTAATGGGTCTAACTTATTGACCAATACAAAACCAAAAATGCTAAACAAATCCATGAAAGCAAGGAAAAGAGAGACTAGCACTTGGGATAAGGACAACCACAGTAAGTGGCGATCTTTCTGGCCTTTGGTGAGTTAATGAAAGATTTGAAAGTAGGGTTCTTCAAGTACTGGCAGACACAATGTTTTTGCTTCTTCACCCTGGTGCAACACAAACGTGTCGGCGTAGACCCTCTCTGTATGGCATCCACACATGGGCTCAGCTGCGTTGGATCACATGTCTCTACTGCAGCGACTCTGTTTTCTTGAGCAACAATGAGAAAGAGAAGGATTGCAAAAGTGAACAACACTGGTTTTGTGCAAGCACCCTTCATTGTCTCTCCAAAGTTGGAGTTTTTAGAGATTTACGAAAAAAAAGGATTTATGCTGGTTTGGAGTTTGAAGTGAGTCTCTTCTTCTATATATAGAACTAGATGGCTTTGTGTTACTCAAAGGAGACTTTGTGGTTGCAAGAGATCTCGAGATGTCTAATAGTATCTGTCTAAAGCTCGAATAGATTACTAAATTTTTTCTTACAAGAAAAAAAAGAAAATGCTCAGACAAAGCATATAAAGACTAAACACCATTTGGGAGAAGTTATAAAACCATGTGCATCCAACAAAGACGTCAGCTTTCGGTTAAGCCCGTGAAGGTATGGTGAACTTGTTGGACAGTTCAAAAATTATATTTCAATTTATTAGAGTATTACTACTGAGAAAGTACAAAACATGACTCTAATTTCTAGTTATATTCAAGTCATGAACTTCAGCCAACTTGCACCAAAAGCTGTTCTGTTTCCATTTATTATGCATTTGCTTCATTTCAAAATCTTCGATGTACCCTAAAAGTCTGTAACCAAAGACCAACCAAAATGCATTGTCTCAATGTTTTAACATAGTTTGGGCAATGAGATACAATAATACAACGAATAAAACAAACATTGGCCTCGCCACTGGCAATGATAGAATTCATATTCTGTGTTTGGTATTGGCCACCAATTATTTCATACTTTGACATCATAACAGACAGAATCAAATAATCTATCTCTAATTCCCGAGTAATTCTCTATGTAGGAGGTAAATAAAGTTGGTCAGGATGATAAAATAAAAATTCTGGGCCAAGAAAGAAGTCTGAGACATACAATTAAGCAGGGAATCACTTGCTAAAATCAGACGCAAAACAGTAACTGTCCTAAAACATCCCCATGTCTCCAAAATATATACAAGTTAACAATACAAATCGAAAACTTATCAAGTTAATCACTTTTAGAGTCAGAATAAGACGAATGGTCAGCTTTCAGGCTATTAATCTTGATATCAAGACGAGACAAGTCAACATCTTTCCGGCCATCACTGTCGATATCTGAATCAGACGAATCACAATCTGTTAGGTCATCACTCTCGGCATCTGAATCAGACGAATCAGCATCTCCCAGGTCATCACTCTCGGCCTCTGAATCAGACGAATCACCATCTCCCAGGTCATCACTCTCGACATCTGAATCAGACGAATCACCATCTCTCAGATCATCACTCTCGGTATCTGAGTCAGAGTCATCGACCTTATGAGCATCGTTAATTGGATACTTGCGCACCTCATCCATCACTTCGTCATCACTTTCATCGTGCTTCCCCGATAACTTCCTATTCATCATTGCCTCAAATAAATCTGGCAATGCATCCTCATCTCCATCATCCAAAAAGCTCTGTATTCTCTTTTTCAGCTCTGTAAAGCCAAATGAAAGAAGAGGGCTTTAAGAAAAACATAAACACATTGTAATCTCTATAGGCATATGTATGCGCTCACGTCATGAATAATTCACAAATCAGTTAGCTGAGTCGGCCTATTACCCCCAAATCGTTGAAAAATTCATCGTTTTCGTTCTTAAATTTAATGTATTTCCTCGAGCTTTACGTTTTTCACAAGAACCAAAGCAAAGAAGGCTGGTTTCGAGAAATTTCACCTTCTTTAGAAAGAACCTCGTCGCTTTTCGAACCATGCGCCGAGTTGGGCTCGGAAGAGAAGAAGACGAACCGGGAAGTAACTCGGTTTAGGGGAGGAACAACACACGGGCTGGTGTTCGAATGGCGGAAAATTGTCGGTGAGTGAAGGAAATTTCGAGCAGCTAAATTGGGAAACCTCTGCAGAAATCGTCTCATTAGATTCGCCGTGAGACTAGGGTTTATCACAGAGGTTTGTCTTCTCAGATTTAACCGCTCTTTTCTTCGCTTCCGATTTTCTTGTTTGATATGACCGGCTGGGGTTGAGTATTGACCAATTCGTTCTCGTTGTCGTCTTAAACCAGATGGACTTAGCCCACCCCGGCCCAGCCCAATTTGACTCTCTTTTCTTCCGCTAAGAAAACAGCCAATACAACTAAACAATATTAAACTATAGTATCTGTCGATTCATATGCGTACTTACATAATTGGCTAATACATACATCGACTTTATTAAGTACGTTAACCAAACCATATAATAGTATTTGAGTGACATTTCACATCATGATTTTTGATTTTGTTTTCTTACATTATCAGCTATCTCGAACTTAAAACTTGTATTAACATCCACTGAAAAATAGGATTACGCTTAAGTACTCTATACTTTCAATCTGATACACTCACTTTCGAATATATTTTTGATGCAAACAACTGCTTTCTATGGTCGAAATTTTTTGATTTTAATATTTTATTTTGTGTTAGAATGTGTTCTTGATAATCACGCCTAGGTACAGAAATATAATTGGGCATTTAACTTAAATATTGATATAATGGATGTGTTTTGTGTTATGGGCAAACGTAAAAAAATCATAAAATTTGTCGTGGAGTTTTTGGGTCATGCTCCTACGAGAATAAGTTTGAGACTTTTGGAATCTGTATTGGACTCATCAGTTATGTGACGCACCTAACACTCTCGAAGATTAATCATTTTTATTTTTCCTCAAATTCTCAATAACAGTAATGTTTACAGCTATTATTTTCCAGACCAATGTAATCAATTTTTATATATATAGAAATATACAGATTTATAGTTTTGTTTCAGTATAAACAAAAGTGATATTGATTTTGAGTTGTGATCTGTGACCTGTGTGAAAACCTGTGACTTGTGACCCTCTGTTTCTTGTCTTTCTTACCTCGAATATATAAAAATTGAAATACATCTGACAAAGAGAAAAAAGAAAGTAAAAGTGACATGAGAGACCTTTTCTATGCATACAAGCAAAGACAATAAAATTTCTTTATCTACCTTCGTTTTTAGGTCTGGACAAAAGTGAACTCCAAAAATTAAATAAAACTAATTTAAATCAAGTCAAATATCGATACTTTTGAAGTAAAAAGAAAAAAAAGTTCCAAAAGACTGGTCGGAATCTATTGAGTGAACAGCTAAACACCTATTGTACCCTCATTCACCTCAAAATTTCAAACCATACATACAGTGCTAAACTCTAAAGAAGAAAGTATAAACCACACATTTGCATGTGAAAAAAGAAAAATATCTTATTCGGTATCGGTTACTTGAAGACTTGAAACACAAACTAAAGCAAATGAAAAGTGGATAATGATTATTAATTAACTAAGGATTAATTAATTAGTACGTTAACTAAACCAACTAAAAAGTCCATCACTCCCTTCTTCCCCGCGCTGTGTCACTTTCCCCACCTCTCCACTATCTCTCTCTCTTTTTCTCCTTTTCTCTTTCTCTCTCAACGAGAAGACAATGCCTGTTTCTGCAGAGCCTTCGTCGTCTTCTTCGACGACAATCGGTCAGCACATCAGACTCCGACCCAGGAATCTCCCCCCATTTGCCGCCGATGAGTCTCTAATTCCCAAACCTAGCCGCGTCTGTAAATCCGCCATGTCTTCCTTCTTCCTCTTGCCATCATCATCCAACGAGACCAACAGGAAGAAACCCAACTCGTCGTTTCGTGGGCTGGGCTGCACCGCCTCCGCGTCTCAGCAGGTTTCCGTCCCGGCCGTGATTCGCTCCTCCGCCGATTGGGATGCGACTAATTTCAAAACTAAGAAGACGAAGAAGTCGAAGAAGACGAAGAGCAAGAGCAAAAGTAGCTTCAACGGCGGGTCGGTTAAGATCTTGAGCGAGGCGGATAGAATCGTCGGCGGAGGAACCGCTTGCGCCGCGATTCCTGATGTTTGGTGCGGACCCGGTGTTGGGTTTTCCACGGATGCGGTGGTCGGCGGAACTATTGAATCCGTCGAGACGGATCCTCCGAGAAGGAATATTCCGGCGAGACGCAAAATCGATGGAGATAAGACCAATAATAACTCTAATCTCAGAGAGGTGCACTTACTTTCTCCTTTTCGAAAAAAATTCGTAATTGAATTTCATTTCTTACTTGTTGCGTGACTTTGTTAATTTGATTTTCGAATATCCGGGGAAGATTTTGCGGAAAATATTACTGAGATTGAGAATTTTTTTAATAAAAAATAGTATAGTTATTTTGCCGGGTTATATAGAGTTTTTTAAAATAGTTTATATAATTAGTTAGTTAAAATCTAGAACAGAATATATGATTTGCGTTTATCCAGTCGTTAGAATTAAGATTTTTCGTTTCGATTTAGGTTATCGCTGGCCCTATCTATTAACAATTTTGAGGTTTTGCACTTCGATATATCCTCCTCCTCCTTATATGGTTGAGAACATTATTTGATCTACTCTTATAGGATTTGTTGTACACAAGCTTCTTTCGACGAAATTAAGGTTTTTTTACACTGTTTCTTGTTCGGAATTTAACTTCCTATTAGCTGATTTAAGTTTCTTGTACATTCAAGTGATCATATGAGGTTTTGATTTTGATAGCAGGGTCAACTGTTTCTTAAAAGTCAACTGTTTAATTCATAGCAGGGTTCTTCTCTTCTCCCAAGGCGATCTCTTAATCAAGAACCCAATCCTTACTTTGACTCTGATACGAACTTTTTGACATCGCGGGCTGAACAGTTCTCTGATAGATATCATCGTCATCTACGACAACCTTACCCTGATGGGCTCTCCGAGGTAGAGTGTTCCTGACTTTACCTCTTAGAGATCATGGAGCTTGTGCAGTATTTCCATCTGGATTTTCCATTTTGCAGGTGATGATGTTACAGAACGGTTTTGTAATGGGAGGGGTAATAAGCTCGTATGATCACTTCCGTGACTTGAGACTTAACGTCGATGACATGACATACGAGGTATGTGTACCTTTCTCAAAAAGTATCAATGAATGAGCTCTGGTGTCTATATGTTCTTGAGTGTTGTGTTTGTTTTGCTGTATAAAAAACAGCAACTTTTGGAGCTTGGCGATAGAATTGGGTATGTGAACACTGGTCTTACTGAAAAACAGAGCAAGTCCTGTCTCCGGAAAGTCAAACCATTCCGGAAAAATACACCATTAGCAGATAGAAAGTGCGTCATCTGTCAAGTAAGTCCAGATATGGTTTTATTAATTATATAATCAGAAAAAAGAATCGGTTTTTTTTTAGTAGAATCCCATGTCTAGATTGGTGTGAAAATGGTTTTGTTCCTTAATAATGTTCATTTGTTCGTTTGCCGACAGGAAGAGTATGAGGTAAAGGACGAGGTAGGAAAATTACGATGTGGGCATAGGTTCCATATCCACTGTGTGAAACAATGGCTGTCGAGGAAGAACTCTTGTCCGGTCTGTAAAACGATGCCGTACGTTGAGCCTTAGATAGATCATAGATATATCTCCTCCTTTGATGATGATTCTTGATTTCGGGATTCAATTACTTTTTTAATGTTAGATTCTTTTCTCGGGTTTTTATTTATGATTGCTATTTTATTTCTGAAAACAACTGTTGAAACATTGTATGAAACAACCAGTTTCTTACACAGACCTATGGAAAAGTCGCCGAGACACTGTGAACCCCACATTGCGTGTGGGTTTGATCAATTTTGTTGTTGGTGATTATTAGGTCGTCAACTACAAAACTGTTAGGTAGATAGATCTAACATTATTAAATCACATGAAAATGATGAAATGGTTACGTGCAAGTAACATCGTGTATCTATAGTTTATCTATACTATTACACGAGGTCAATTCAATAATGCTTACGTCTAAATGAAATCTTCACCAGTCTGATAGAAGAAATTACTTCACTTTTCTACTACGAAGCTTCTAATTTCGTGGATATTTTATATACATGAATGTATCTATGGAATGTTATATGTACTTTTACTCTGCTTTTTTTTTTTTTACAGAAACAAGAATCGATATAATTTGAAATTTTGCTGATCTTATCTCTCATCATGGCGCTGAAGATATTGAATAATCAGTGGATATATTTCGCTCCGGGCCTGTAATGATGATAATGAAACAGTGTCAAAACATAATTCTGTTAAGTGATAAGGAAAAACAGAATGAAGAGAAATTGATCACATATACCGTTCGACCAGAAATCATATCTTGGTGGCCATAATGTGGACCTCCGGGTGATCCTAAGACTTTAAAAGTGGCTAGATGTTCTGGAATCAGCTTTACAGTATCTACTCATCAGATCAACGACATTACACACCGGTTAACGATCACATCAATCAAGAGAAAGGAGTCTTAAAAGATGTTGTAAAGTAACTACCGTATACTGCAAGAGCTAGAATCGGGACACTGGTTTTGCTGATATGATCTTTGTAATAGAAATTACCGGTTCTGTCACGCAGTCCACCCTGGTCCACGGCTGTTGCTAGCTGAAAGAGAAGCTTAGCCGGCACCGTGCCTGTTTTTTTTTTATTGGGTTTTTCAGAACAAACGTTATTGTTATCGCTGAAATATGTTGAGAAGTTTGAGAAAATGAGCTTACATAAGCTGTTCAAACCAAGCTTTTAAATCACTTCAGGGTCCATCATTTGAGGAGCAGAGATATTAGTGGTTAACCAGGACAAAGCATATGCAGGACGACAAATTAGAGGGTGAGCCATCGCGAGTATTGTATCAATCGGTAGGGCAGGCAGGTTAATAGCTTGCGCGGGCTCTTTCTGAAACAAAACGACATTTGAAATCACTTTCTCAGTCGTATTTTTCTCTTTAAAGAGTGTAATAGTAAGGTGGTTGGTTTTTAAGTACTTGCCACGGGTAATAGGTACTTGAGGAGTGTTCCTGAGGACGAGTAGTCCAACGTTGATGCAATAGTAGTAAAAGAAGCCAAACCCGAATCCATTCCTTGTAAACCTAGTGAAAACGTGATTGAACCAAAATCTAACTATGAATTACACTTTATAAGAGAATATCAGGCTATGTGATGCATGAGAGAGCTTACCACATCTTGAGAGCAAGGCATATAAGAGAATACCACCCATTGAGTGACCAATCGCTAACAACTTCCCATTCAAATTTTGGCTTGGTTTGAGTCCTCACATACTCCATCTGAGGCCAACATATCATATAATTGCAAATTTTATTTATATAAATCAAACTGCAAAAAAAAAACATACACGAAGACACCCAAAACAACTTATATCCCCTCAATGTGATTCATTGAGTCAGAGATGATATAATTAAATAGTTTGAACCAGGGAGTGAGAACATCAGATAAAAACAGAACCAGCAAATAGGACCTTAACGTTATCTGTGTCTATGAGTTTACCGGACCAGTCAATATACCCCCAAACCTCCCATTCCTCGCTTGCCTCGCTTACTTTGCTTTTCTTCAGGGAAATCTCGGCAGACCAGAGCTCAACACTCTTAGGACCTTCAGGCTGCGGGTTCACGTTCCAGAAGATGACCATCTTCCCAGTAGAGTCCCTGCAGAGTTTGGTGATATCATATTCTTGAAGCTCTTCTAAACCCTTGACTTCCTTCCAATCCAACTCATATGGCAAACACCATAGTATTTTCCCGCGGGTACCACCACGACAGAATATAAAAGTCCCAATCAAACACCAGTCAGCTCTGTCTTGTGGCTTAGAATCATCAGTTTTCTCGCTGGCCACAAACATACATTGACTTGGTGAGAAGGAGAAGCTCTGACCATCCTCAGCTAGGACGTAAACCTCCTTCTTCTTGTCAATCACCACGCTTTGTTGGATATTAAGGGTCTTATTGTTCAGGGTCGGTGTAGACACAGACAAGAAATCCCAGGTTTCAGTGTTGAGATCGTATACCTCAGCCCAGTTTGATGAATCAGCGTCATCCCCACACCCTCCAAAAACGTAAATTTTATCGTCTATAAGGCTTGCCGATGCGGAGGCACGAGCCATCTTCATGGGCGGTATACGGAACCAGGTGTGCTCGAAGCAGTCGAAAAGCGACACATCCGAAGTGGGCTTGCCGTTGACGAGTCCACCGATGATATAGATCCCCCAATCCATCTCCACGAAAGAGGATGATGCTGGAGTCTGATACATATACGAATCGATCGGTTTCAGCCGGCGTTGCACGGGGTGGAGGACGAACCACCGTGGGTTTGGTTCGGATAAGATGTGCAAGCATACGTATAGATAACGCTCGCAGAAACCCATCCGAGACCTCAAGTCCCAGAGCTCAGGGGAAACTACGAGAGACCGGTGTGACTTGGAGGCGATAGCTAAGGCCGCCAGGTCCAATCTCGAGACTTGAGCCAGGCAGTTCAAAACCACCGCATCTGGCAACGACCATAACCCACACACCTTCCTCGTTTTTTTCTTCCTCGTTTCATTCTGCGATGCCGTTAATGCCAATTGAGATTGTCGGCATCCCCGAATTGCACTTGTTCCTTTCATCCTTTGATTATTACCGGAGCCGGAGCGGATCGATCGATTTACCTTTTGGCCTTAAATCTCAATCAAGTTAGGGATTTTTTTCTTTGTTCGTTCACAACTTGTCAAGCAAGACACCATAAATAAGTAGTTTTCGGAAAAGAAAAAAGGAAAAGAAAAAGAAAAAAGGAAAAAGGAAAAGAAAAAAAGTTAAGAATTAAAACGAGAGAAGAAAACAAAATTGATCCCAAAACAAAATTTCCAAATTGGAAAATTCTGCCTTTTTTATCATTTATTTATGAGATTATTACCTAGTGCACTTTTTGAAACTGTAATTACCAAAAAAAATATTTTTTGAATCACTTGGAATTATCTTATTTTGTTTTCATTTTTGGATTTTTTTATTTTTTTCTGTTTTTACTTTACCAAAACGTACGAGACCCACCTAAATCCACTCATCACCATCTACACACTAAATCGCATGGAAACTATTTTAATTTATCAGTTTTCACACATTAAATCGTACAAGACTCACCTATATAGATGCAACTATATGGATACAACTATATAGATACACATGTAAATATGCACATATATTTATATAGTTACATCTATCTATAATGTATGCATGTGGATATGCATATATATATATATGTATTCATATAGTTATATCTATTTATACTTTATGTATGTGGATATGCATATATATATATATCAATATATTATGTGTTTACGTGTACACTACTATATGGATACGTATATGTATACATATATATCTATATAATTACATAAATACATATATATTTATATAATTACATAAATATTTATATATTTGTGTCCACGTGAACGCTACTATATGGATATCTATATGTTTATCACTAAACGACAAAAAATTAAGTTAAAAAATATAAAATGGGTATCAAAATATTAAAAAAGAAATTATATAATATATAGTGTCAAAATAATTATTCAATTATTTTTTAAATAATAGATAAATAAAAACAAACAATTATGGGAAATGTGTGATATTAATATAATATTAACTAGAGAAATAATATAGATAAGTAAGCAAAAGCATTAAAACAATCATTTGTCTCCTCCAAATAGTAAAAAAGTATGTCTTTTGGTAATTAAAATACAAAAGTTTTTTTTGGACATTAGATAACTCAAAAATACATCTAGTGGTGACACTTTTTATTTATTAATGTGATTTTCAGTTCAGACAGCTGATGCAAATACCAAACACTTTGGTTCTTAAGAAGTGAGAACTGCTTCAAGGATTCACTTTGGAAATCCTCCAATTTGAGGATTAAGAACAAAATTGATCACTTCACAAGTCACAACAACATTCATTCATTCACCTTATTATGAATTAAACTTCTCAGTTTCTCTAAATGTAAATTTTCAATCTCACGCCTACTATTTTGTAATAGCCAATGCCCAATCGTCTTACTGATCTCTAACTCTCGACTACTAACAAGTCACAACATGCATTCACTTTATTTTGAATTAGACCTCGTAATTTCTCCAAATACAAATTTTCAAGCTCACGCCTACTATTTTGTAACAGTCAAAAGCCCATACGTCTTACAAGTTACACAAGTGCGGTAAGTGCATTTTCACCACACGCGGATAATTTTGCATTACTGTAAAATGCAAATTGAAGACTTAATAATACTCATTTTTCAAGGCTGATTACTTAGATCAAACAATAAGATCAGTTAGATCACAAATGAAAAATAATAAGATCAGTTAGATCACAAGATAACATTATCACATACTTGCAAAGTCTCCTTTTTTAAAATGTTTTATGAATTAATATATATATACATATATATGGTTATATTTCTCTCTATATAATGACTTTTGAACAAATATAATGCACAGCTGCAAAAAAATTACAGCATATCAAATTTTAACATTAGAAATTAATTCAACTACTCAATCAATCAATCAACATAAAAATACAACATATTAATGAGAAAGAAAAATACATACTCTTTGCACCATTCCTTATATGGTTTGGCTTTTTTGCAAGAAACTAGCAACTTCGACCTAGAAATTTTAAAAGGATTTGTTTCTTCTCATAAAAAAGAACTGCAAACAAATTTATAAAAGGAATGATTAACTATTAAACTTCGGCAGAGTAAGTGAGAGAGAAAGTTGATTTATATCAAATCAATCAAGTCAACCAAGTCAACCATACCAAGTCATACCAACCACTCTCTCAATCCATCAATCTTTACTGGAAACCATTTCAAAGTCTATTTCATTTGGCACATATTATATTATAATTAGATGAGTACCTGCGCTAAGCGCAGATGTTTATATATACGAAAAATAATATACTTTTTGTGATATTTCATTAAAAAATATTTGTGATATAATTGCGAATATATAACTACATGAACTATTGACATAAATTTCTCAAAAAAAAAAGCAAAATAACCAACTTGTGTACACATTCTTTTCTGGTTCTAAATATTACTACCGATACAAGGCTAGATAAATCCATCTCTATTTTTGTGAAAACCTCTTCTAAAGCAGAAGCAAGATAATATGCAACCAAGGCAGATCCTTCTTTGAAGAAATTCATTGTGTTTTCGTTGCAACTAATGCATCAAACACTTGTCCAAGACACCACACAAATATGGGTTAGATAGCTTCAGATTTTCATTAATCGAAGCTGAACCACAACTAAAACCACACATCCAGAGTTTTGGTCCTTGCTTTCTTGAGCAATATTGATGTGTGTTCTTACCAACATCTGTAGAGTTGGCATGAACGTTTTCCCTAATACAGAGACTATTGCCGCGAGAACAGATTTTCTCATGTTTCCGTTTCTTATTAAAAGCAAAAGTAACCTTTGAAGCCCAGCAAAATTATACAATCTCACCTACGTGCATCATACGGTTTCATTTCCTCTTTTCTCTCAACCCCAACAAGTTTTTACTACCAAGTCACGAGTTTGACAGATGATTGTATCAGCTACGGTTTCAGATGTGTGAATTATTCCGTTCTCAAAACCCAACACATTAGCAACAAGCCAACAACAACAGCATTGCAGCATGATTATACCCCTCTCTGTTAAATAGACATGAGAAACACCAGAAAAACCCTTAGACAACAGAAAAAGAGCCAACGTAAACAGCTTCAGTACACTTCCAATAAAGGTAACAGTACCTCATACAAAACATTAAAATTCCAATAGTCAATAAATACCAAATGTAAGCAAAAATTTCCCACTTAAGGTTTTTCTAGTAGAACAAAACCAGTGATACGATGTTTGGCATGACATAACCTTTTCTCAAGGCAAATCACTCAGAAACATCGGTCTTTTACCTGAAACAAATGCATATTAAATAATGGAGTCATATCAGACATGAGCTTTGTTCAAAGAATATTAAAACTTCAAGTGTTTGAAAGAATGGAGAATAAAAAGAAAATGCAGGAAAAAAAATTATTGAGGGTACCCATGAATCTTAGAAAAATATTAACTTATGCAAATGAAAATAAAATGACAACAGAGTAGCAGGTATCTTTTTTCAATTTGTAGTGAAAGACAACACCAATCCAAATAACCTACTTTCTGTTTTCACTGATTCACCGCTCGTCAGTTCTTTATTTCCTTTTTTTTTACATTTGTTCTTATCCAAGACCAAAAAGCAAGTGTTCGAATTTTCAATTTCAGTCACTTAGCTTCTTGATAAGTGATGCGTGATCGTATTGTGTGAGGGAACAAGTTTTACCCTTAACAAAACAAAAGAAAGCCGCAAGTGTGATCCAAAAAGTTTGTTTTTTTTTTTTAAAAAGCGTTTTTGAAGCAAAAACGGAAAATTTCTGAAAATTTTTAAGTTTACGGGAACTTACCTTTTCTTGTTTGCACATTAGGAAAGTTTAAAACTTACGGAGGATCTTTTCGGGTTTTACTGGGAACATTTCGGGAAACACCGGGAATCACCGAAAAACGTCACAAATCCGCGACATCACCTCAACGACCAACGGCCGCGGTCAGGAGACGCGCGACCGCGGTGGATGAGGGCTTGGCCGCGGTCGCATTCTCGGTGCCGCGGTCGATGCACCTTTTGCCGCGGTCCCATCAGTTGCGACCGCGGATCTTCCTCCTGCGGCCTATTGTCCAATCTTCTCGTCTTTGCCGGGCCGAGCAGCTAAAGACCTACCTTTTTCTCCTTGGGTTTTCTAATTTTCTGAATTTTTTGTGTTTTTGTTTTATAAAATACCTAAAACTTAAAAAGAAAAAGAAAGCATAAATTCTAAAAAGGAAAAGAAAACTAAAAGAAAGAGTACCTAAATGGGTTGCCTCCCATTAAGCGCTTTTGTTCTAAAAAAAAGTCGTTTAGCTCGACGTAAGCATGAGGAATCAGGCTGATTTGAATGGCACTCCACTTGATGTGCCTTTGTCACTTCCGGTTGGTGGAGGTTTTACTTCTTCTCCTTGAAGAGAAGTCTTCTTACCTTTAATCTTCTTTCGGACTTTAATGTTGTTCAGAACCCTTTTTGTGTTTTCGATCAGCTCCTGGATTTGGTCCTCACTAGTTTCTGTTGCATCTGGTGAAATGATGATCTTGATCTTTGCAAAAGCTTTCGGCTTCTCCTTTTCTTTCTTTTTTGGCCTGTTTCCTTTGCTTGGAAATTCATCTAAGATAGTAGGATAATACATTTTTCTGTCCACATTGAGGAAAACAGCATGCCGGTTTGCGTGATTGATAATTGCTCCTACTGTAGCTAGGAATGGTCTCCCAAAAATGAGTGGCCTCTCCTTGTCTTTATCCATCTCCAGGACTAGGAAATCTGCTGGAACAATCTTATCTCCCACTAGAACTTGTAGATCATGAATCGCCCCTTCAGTATCTTTTTGAGATGAATCTCCAAAGATAACCTTAACCGTCGATGTCCTTAAGGTTTTTATGCCCAATTTTTCGGCAAATGTCTTTGACATGGTGTTGACATTGGCTCCGGAATCGCACAAGCAGTCTGTAAACTTGATTCCTGAAATGAAACACTGGAAAACAAAACGTCCCGGATCATCGGCTTTGGTAAGCCTTTGAAACGGTGATTGTTCGGGTACCTTAAACAACGGCTGCTT